GCCGGGTACAGGAGACAAAAGCTCCCTGTACCCGCGGACCATACCATAGAGGGCTCGGCCACGCTACAGGGAGAGAGTGACAGGAGGGAGCGCTCAACGTTTCCCTCCTGTCAGCCCCTCTCCCCATGCTGCGCCCGGGCGGTGCGGTCCGCCCTCAAGGACGCACCACCCGGGCAAAGATGCAATCGTCTGAGGCTCTCTACAGAGCGGGGCCGATGCTCCTGGCGGTGCCCCCTCCCAAGGGGCGCCCTAGGCGGCTGCCTAGTCCGCCTTACAGGTAGCGCCGGCCCTGCCCCCTTGCTGACGTACTTCCGTGTCTACGCGTTTCTCCGTTCACAGACGGCTTCGTCATAACGTGAAGTGCTTGATTGCTCCCCCTCTCGGAGAGCTTTTATATATCTTGCATTACAAGCAATTGATGCATTCTGTGTCATCCACATATGTGTGGCATCCTAATCATCAAGCATTGACTGCTTTACCTTATTATAAAACGGTCTTTTCTCATTTGCAACAAAATGTACATTTAACCAAACATTGACACAAAATATAAAATATACAATACATGTGCAATAATACCAATAAAAATAAAAAATAAATTCCAGTTGATTCAGCACATTATAGTAATAGCCCGTATCAATAAAACACAATCAATAAAACACACTTAAATTCCAATTAAATCAACACCCATTCATTATAGATACCTAGTACAAAAATAGAGAAAGAAAAGAAAGAAACAGCATGTGTTATTAATCCACCATAACTACAATGCAGTTCCATTTTGTATTTTAAAGTGGCACAGTGGCAATATCTTTTCTTATTATATATCATATTGTAAAAACAAAATATACAATGGAATTAAATAGAATGTCTGATGGACAAATTGATTCACAACCTGGTTAGATCAGAACCTGAGTGGATATCTGAACTTATACTAATTTAAAGGGATATACCTCTCCAAAATATAAAAATAAAAAATATAAAAATACTATAAGATATATATATAAAAAATTATGTTAAAAAATTCTATAATAAAAATTATAAAAAATGACAGATCTCAAAATCATTATTCATTCCTTTGGGAATGAGAGTATTCAGTTCAAATATCCATCTCATCTCTGTACGGCCTAAATTTTGGATCAAATTGCCTCCTCTCCAATTGTTATTAACCTGTTGGATCCCTATGAAATTTAAAAGAGACGGGTCAGAGTTATGAAACTCCTCAAAGTGTAGGGAAACTTGATGTAATTGATATTTTCTCTTAATATTATAAGTATGTTCACATATTCTCGTTCGTAAATGTCTAGTTGTCACAATGTATCTCAGGCCAGATGGGCAGAGTAACATATATATCACATTCTTTGTTTGACATGTTATAAGCTCTTTTATTTTGTATGTTTTTCCATTAACTACGAAATCTTTAATACATTGTTTAGCACTGCCCGTATTTCGACAGGCATTACAGTAGCCACATATGAAAAATCCCTTTAATTGACTAATAAAATTCTGGTTAATTGGCCCTTTGGAATATTAGTGAGCCAGGGACTAAAATGACAACTACTAATTTCTATGTAGTTATTGACGTCAACAGATTTAAAAAAGGATAAAAGTCATCAATGTAGTGTCTGTATAGCACCAAGTTCATCTCCCAGCCACTATCCCCTCCAAAATGGAGGGATTCCCAACGTACCATGAACAGGTTCGCGTAGCTGGGAGCGAACTTGGTGCCCATAGCTGTGCCACAGACTTGTAAGTAGAAATCATTATTGAACCAAAAAAAATGATTGTGTAAAATGAATTCAATAGATTCCAAAATAAACGAAATTTGGTTATTGGAGTATAGGGACTTATGTTCTAAATTATATTTTATGGCTTGAATGCCAATTTCATGGTCTATATTGGTGTACAAAGCAGCTACATCTGCTGTAACTAACAGCCACTCATTCAATCCCATTCAATCTTTTGTAATTCGTGTAGAATACTAATCGTGTCTTTCAAATATGATGGGTAGGTCTTCACTAAGGGTTGTAGTAAATGGTCAACATACTCTGAGAGTCTACACGAGATTGAGTTAATACCTGATATTATGGGTCTACCTGGGGGTTTACACTTATCTTTATGTAATTTCGGGAGAAAATAGAATACTGGTATCCTTTCAAATTTTATCTCTATATATTCTCTCTCTTTTTTATTTAAGACTTTTTCCTTACTCCCTTTCTCAATTAATTCAAGGAATTTCTTTTTTATTTCCTGTGTGGGGTTTTGGGATAGCTTCTTATATGTGGAGCTATCTCCAAGTAATCTGTTAGATTCTTCTAAATAATATTCATAATTCATAATAACTATCCCACCCCCCTTATCAGCTGGTTTAATTACTATGCTGGTGTCCTGTCTCAGATCTTTTAGTGCTGCATATTCCTGAGGGGTTAAATTTGATTCCTATCTATTTTTTTATACAACCACTGATAGACACTATCCTCTCTAGGGGTTTCTACGGCCTTATACATGTCGTCTTTTATTATCAAATAGGCTATTTATTTTCTGATTTCTTGTTACTCTTATTGTTAGCGGGGTGAGACTTAGGTGCCCTCGAAGGCACGGGGGTGGAGCGTAGCCGGAGGGATAGCCTTTTCTGTCCATTCCTATACCATTAGACAGTCTGGCATACACCTCGAATCTATAATCTCTAGTGCAGTTTTTTCAGCGTTCTGCTAGCACAGTCATTTATAATTTCTTCCTATATCATTTTATCCTCATTTCTGATCTTTTATCTTGCACTATCATTCTGTTACTTCTTGCATTGTTCCAACTTAATTAGGCATTCAAGCCGATCACTATAATTTGTACATAATTAGGCATCACAGCCGATTATTTAACATTTATTGTCGTTTGAAGCCTTTGATTCAACGACATATTCTCAGGGGCGTATTCTGTATAGGGGCTGTAAAACCTACTCTGTAGCACACAACACTGTGCCCTACCTTATCATCTATTATCAGTAGCACCTGTATGTCCTCCCCTCATTGCGCAGACGTGCGCTATAGTTGAGTTTACACATATTGGTTTAGAAATCAGAACTGATCCTTAATATACATATTGGTATTTTGTTTTTAATTTATTTTTCCTGTTGTGTTCATTTTGAACACTTTGTCTTTTGTTCTCATTGAAAATCAATAAATTTGTTTTTTGTTTTTTTGGACCCTGTGGTCCTTTTAGATGGGCCTTTACCTCGAATCTCCCATGTTAGAAGCATAGGCTCATATTAGTCTTCTCCCTACCTCACAGGTACACTTTCTTTATGTTTTGCATCCATTTTCACTAGGGGTTACCCCCCTGTCTTTAGTGTACCTTGGCTGTATTCAAACAAGTTCAGAATATGTGAACATACTTATAATATTAAGAGAAAATATCAATTACATCAGGTTTCCCTACACTTTGAGGAGTTTCATAACTCTGACCCGTCTCTTTTAAATTTCATAGGGATCCAACAGGTTAATAACAATTGGAGAGGAGGCAATTTGATCCAAAATTTAGGCCGTACAGAGATGAGATGGATATTTGAACTGAATACTCTCATTCCCAAAGGAATGAATAATGATTTTGAGATCTGTCATTTTTTATGATTTTTATTATAGAATTTTTTTACATCATTTTTTATATATATATCTTATAGTATTTTTATATTTTTTATTTTTATATTTTGGAGAGGTATATCCCTTTAAATTAGTATAAGTTCAGATATCCACTCAGGTTCTGATCTAACCAGGTTGTGAATCAATTTGTCCATCAGACATTCTATTTAATTCCATTGTATATTTTGTTTTTACAATATGATATATAATAAGAAAAGATATTGCCACTGTGCCACTTTAAAATACAAAATGGAACTGCATTGTAGTTATGGTGGATTAATAACACATGCTGTTTCTTTCTTTTCTTTCTCTATTTTTGTACTAGGTATCTATAATGAATGGGTGTTGATTTAATTGGAATTTAAGTGTGTTTTATTGATTGTGTTTTATTGATACGGGCTATTACTATAATGTGCTGAATCAACTGGAATTTTTTTTTTTTTTTATTGGTATTATTGCACATGTATTGTATATTTTATATTTTGTGTCAATGTTTGGTTAAATGTACATTTTGTTGCAAATGAGAAAAGACCGTTTTATAATAAGGTAAAGCAGTCATTAATGCTTGATGATTAGGATGCCACACATATGTGGATGACACAGAATGCATCAATTGCTTGTAATGCAAGATATATAAAAGCTCTCCGAGAGGGGGAGCAATCAAGCACTTCACGTCCTGACGAAGCCGTCTGTGAACGGAGAAACGCGTAGACACGGAAGTACGTCAGCAAAGGGGTGGAGCCTACTCAGAAGCCGGGTGTTATGAAACAGCAGAAGCTCGACTAGGCGCTATCCGGACGACAACTAAAGGCACCCCTCTGATTATAGTCAATCCTCCAATATAAGGAGACATCTCCCAGTGTGGGAAAGCCTGACTGTGAGTAAACGGATATATACCGTTCTACTCACCACCATATCTAGTAAGCAGTTATCTGCTACATATAATGATAGTGTTGGTTTTATGTTGCATTAATTAATCGGAAATCTGCCTGATGTATGTCAACTAAACAGTGACACAATGTGTATTTATGTTTTTTATTATTGTTTGTTATGAATTGGCTATTATAGCTTGTTTTTAATTGCTACTTGTTGCAATATTGTAATAAATATTTATCCAGCTGATTCAATCCAGTATCTGTATATTTTAGTAATACCTCTTCATCAATTAATCCACACAGATCTGTTCTATGATCATTTTTATATATTTTTTTCCTTACATGCCGAGCTTGAAATGGAACATTAATCAGCAAGCAATATAAGTATATTTTTTTTACTTTAGTAGTAGCTTGATTGCATGTGGGAGAAGGGTTTTTTCTAGTTCTGGGAGTAGCAATTTTTGAAAATTATTTTTATAATATAAAATGGGTCTTATTACCTGGATCCAGCAGAGAAGGGGAGGAAGGCATACGAGTTTCTATTGGATGTATTTTCAGGAGAAAAGCGCTGGGGATTAAAAACCTGAAAATGTGCACACAATACATTGTTATGGTGTAACTTAAGTAGTAGTGAGTATCTATGACATTTTTCTACATGTTTTATGCAAAATCTACAGCATTGTTTTATTAACAAAATCTTCATGACTTTTGCAATTTGACTGGTTCCGGAGTATTGTCAAAGAAAAAGGTATACTAAAGCATACAGTGCAGAGCAAGACAGTTCCGGTAATCCGTAGCACAACCATTTCCACGACTGTAATTTTATAATTAAATAAAAAAAAAAAAAAACTATGCCATACATTATTTTTATTTGATTTATTTTTTTTATTTTTTTTGCAGAATTGTTTAAATAAAGATCTACTTAAACAGAAATATTTTTTTTCTTAGGTGATTGGCCAATTAATTAAATTTAAATATAAAATAACATTTCATAAAAACCCCACTATCCACTTACCTCTGGTTCTTCCCAAATGCTGGAACATCTGTTAATGTTATATAAACTCAGAAAGACATTAGCACCTGTTAGAAAGGAAACAATGTGCAGGTTATAATGTCAGAAAATACAATTTTTTTTGTTGCACATTGACCGATTTCTCTCCCTCCTCAGGGTGTTTGGAGACAATAAAAACATTCAGAATTTGAAGTTTTAAAGCAGGGGTCCTCAAACTGTGGATGTTGCTGAACTACAACTCCCATGATTCTTTGAATTGCATAGATAGCCAGAGAATCATGGGAGTTGTAGTTCGGCAACATCTGCTGGGCCGGAGTTTGAGGACCCCTGTATTAAAGTATTGGGCCAATTATATGCACTATTAAACTCATACACATGTAACTATACACAAATACATGCACACATATATACAAACATATACACACACAAAGACATACACACACTCAAATACCCACACACATACTCTTAAATCTTAAAAATAGAAACAAAGAATGTGACGGCAGATAAGAGCCGTTCGGCCCATCTAGTCTGCCCAATTTTCTAAATACTTTCATTAGTCCCTGACCTTATCTTATAGTTAGGATAGCCTTATGCCTATCCCACGCATGCTTAAACTCCCTCTACCACTTCAGCTGGAAGGCTATTCCATGCATCCACTACCCTCTCAGTAAAGTAATACTTCCTGAAATAATTGTTAAACAAGAATACTTAAAGACACACTATATGCATCAAAATAACTTTAGCAAAATTAAGCAGTGTTGGTGTATAGAACATGCCCCTGTAGTCTCTTTGCTGAATTATCTGCCATTTAGGAGTTAAATTACTTTTGTTTTTGTTTATGCAGGCCACGCCACAAAAGTTTGCATGAAAAAAATGGTTTCATTTTCAATCAGATCTTAACTTACTTTAGAAGTTATTTTCTCCTGCTCTGTAAATTGAACTTTAATCACACACACATCTGAAGTGCCTGCAGGCTCTAGCAGGATATTAACAAAGCAGTAGATAAAACAAGTCTAAATGAAACACTGTGCAATAAAGGAAGTTTAAACATTATACCTCTCTTTACAGGAAGTGTTTAGGAAAGGTGTTTAAGTCACATGCAGGGACTTGTGGCTAAGGCTGAATTAATGAAGTGACAACACCTAAATAGCAAAAAACTAAGCAGTGAGATTGCAGGGACATATTCGATACAGCAAACTGCTTTGTTAAGCTGAAGTTGTTTTGGTGCCTTATAAAATCCCTTTAAATGCTAGTTTACCTATACTTTGCCCATGGTTACAACATCAGGATTGCATGTGAAGGAGACCAGATTTTGTTAGTAAATCACATGCATGTTTATTATTATCGTTGCGAATCTAAATACTGCTTTACCAGTGTTTTATACAGCAGGTAATAGGCATCAATAGTAAGGAGAAATTATAGCTTACCTTTTGGAAGACTCCGTCCATCGCAGAACGTAATTGGTTGACTGAGCTCCCGGGCAACACCTGGGACGGGTGGGTAAAGCCTCATGCTCTCCTTAATACATAAAGTGGTGTAGATCATTTTACCCAGATCATCCCTTGTCACATAAAAAAACAAAAAAAAAAATCATCAATAGGTAAAGTGGCACAAAGGATGTAAAAATAACAATATAAAAATTGTAATTAAAACATGGATGGTCTCTGAGACTTTTTTGCATAGTGAGTAACTTGGGTCTTCTGTTGGTCTGGTGGTGAGTGTCTGTTCTGGTGATGCTAGGGTTAGTGGTTCAGTTGTGTCTTTCAGTCCTGCTTTCTCCAACCACTGGTTGAATTTTTGTTATCCGAGCCACATCCACTATCTGCTGGTGTACATTCCATGGAGACATTTGTCTTGCCATTGAACCTCCTCATTTTCTGCATACTCTGCCTGTCTGTTGTCTCAGGAATTCCTTTAGAAGTTTATCTTTGGGAGGCATCTTTGTGATGCACTTGTGGGTGCATCCAGGACTGTGGTTGTGACAATCATTAGGCCCCAACTGCCTCTGGGGCTGGATTTTGGGTAGAATCCTATATTCATAGTGATTTGTTTCCTGGTCTTGATATTCATGGTGTCCAGCTATTCTCTTAGCTAGGTAATGGCTGGTAGGACATATATGTTGATGATGTGGCTCTTTTTCTTGTCATTGAACTGGGACTTCAGGACCTGTCTAACTTTCTGGAGGTACTTGGATGTTGCTGTTGTCCTTGCCTCTTCCTCATGGTACTCATGTGTTTGTGGTATCCACAGGTATTGGTATCAGTTCTCTACATCTCCTAATTGGCCTTCTGGCACTTCAACTTCTTCAGTTCTAATCATCTTTCCTCTTTTTGATATTCATATGACCCTACTTTTTTCTAATCTGAATGACTTTCTGATGTTCTTGCAGTATATCAGTGAGTTGATGTCCTGATCACTCTTGGCATATAGCTTGATGTTATCCATGTAGAGGAGGTCTCTGATGGTAGTTTCTTTCTCAAACCTATATCTGTATCAACTCTTAATGATGATCTGTCTGATAGAGTTAAGGCTAATGCAGAACAACATTGGGGATAGTGCATCAGCTTGGTATATGCCACATTTGATATCCACTTGTATAATTGTTCTGGAATTGGCTTCTAGAGTTATTCTCCACATGCCCATTGAGTTCTTGATCAATGCTCTTAGCATCCTGTTGAACTAGTATAGAGCAAAGCATTCTAGTATCCATGTGTGTGACATTGTTTCATAGGCTTTCTTGACGTCAATCCAGGCTGCGCACAGATTGGTCTGCCTGGTATTAGAAACCCATCTGCCTGCTTGGTCTACCAATAGCTGGGGTTTTAAGCTTCTGGTGTGGTTTCCAATCTCCTTCTGAGTACTGCTCATGGATTGACTCATTTTCCCATAGATCTTGGAGGCTATGATACCTGACATGACCTTGCATGTTGTGGGGATGCAGGCGACTGTCAGTAGTTATATGGTGCTGTTCCCTTGTGAGGGTCCTTTATGTAAGTTCACTGATTTAGAACTAAGAAAACCAGGTTGAAATCCTGCCAAAATACCTCTCCTATATGTCTCCCTTGACAAGACACCTAATGATAAATATCTGTTTACCTCAATAATATGAACCAAAAGAGTTATGCCAGCTCGGATGTCGCCTGAATTCACAAGGTCCACATCAAATTCTGGGTAAGCAGGGCAATCTGACAAGAGGTCTACTGGAGCAAACCATTCCTGGATATGAAGTAAGAGCCATCATCTACACTAACATCAAAACAAAATAAAAATTCCAGTTGTGACACTAGTTTCCTCCCCATTATATGTTACACAACATTTTAACATAATGGGGAGGAAACTAGTGTCACAACTGATATTCTTATCTATTAAGAGGTCCTCCCTTTCTCAAAACTAAAGCATTTCTGAGAACAAAATGACAAGATATTAATTTCATCTGTTATTTTACATCTTCTTCAACACTCACTCTATATATAATACAGCTAAAATACTTGTCACGACTGAGTTTGTGGTCCAGCACGCAGAACTATGTAACATATACTGAACATAACTGGTTGAATTAATACGTAGAAAGACAGAGAATGGTCAAGGGAAAGCCAAAGTCATGGAAGCCAGAAATACACGAGAACGATATGTAAAGCCAAGTCAAGGGAACCAGAAATCAGAGTAGTCAGGGATAGCCAAGGTCAAAATACCGGGAAAATCAAATACAAGACAAGAAAACGCACTCTCGGGAACCAGGAACTGAAACCACGACAGGGCAATGAGCTAGGGAACTTCAGGGGTTTAAGCACCCCTCCTTGTGCTGTGATTGGTCAGAGCGTGACCTCTGACCCCAGAACGTGCGTGTGCGTTGACAAGTTCGCGTGACCCTGGGGGACGGGGCTATAAATGGCTACAGCCGCGTGGTCGGCGCCATCTTGTTTACTAGCAGAGGGGACAGATACCCAGGCGGAATGGCTCCTGGCTCGTCGTCAAGCAGGTAAGCTCAGCCTGTCAGCTCGGTCGCACCGATCAGATGTGACCGTGTGCAGCCGCGAGTCGGGGGCCGTGACAGTTTTATATGAGTTAAGTTCTTGAAAACTATTTATATTAGAAAAAAATTAACTCCTGCTTTACTTTCCAGCTAATTTATGCATTATTATTTTCTGCAGAAACAAGAGAGAAGGTTGCAGGTTCTCACCATTCCACTGTGTTCCGCTCCCCCAATATCTCCCTGATCTCCTCGCGACACTTCTGCTGATGTTCAGGGTACTTGGCCATACAGTACAAAATCCAGGAGATCCCACTGGCTGTTGTATCATGTCCCTCAAACATAAAGGTGTCTACCTCGGCTCGTAGGTCCTCGTCCGACAGACCTTGGTTATTTTCATCCTGTTCGAAGAAAAAATATGAATACAGCCTTTTCCCAAAACTTGTATTATAGTTTCTTTTTTCTCTTATTACATATATAGCACATTCTAGTTCCAGTATAGCCAAGAAACTAGAAATTTGATGAACCTATCATAGGCAATAAATAAGGATAAGTAAAATACATGATATATCCTTTTATATTTGTAAGGTATATTGCTTTTGTATATCAGCACAGTATCTCTCTAAGTAAAATATATTTACAGTATAAAATACAATATTAAGTATAGTAGTCCATTTTTGTTAATCACTTTCTCCAAAGAACACTTGATTTGATTAAAGCAGTAGCAATCAATGGTTTGACTCTAACCATGGCTCCCAGGGAACTTCCAGGTATTGCAATTGCAATAGTCAAAGTTCCGCTTTTGCATTAGCAAAAGCAGTTCCATCCATGTTTGGATGGAATTAATTGGATAAGAGTGTTAGCTGACATTCTTCAGCCGACTAATTCAAACTACAATTGGACAAAAATGGATAATACTAACGCAGAAGATACATTTCTGCTTTACTGATATCTCTAATAAGGGCCAGGTTGTGGTAAATGATTGATACATAACGGGGAGATCGTGCCAGTGGGCTCCTGGCACCCTTAGTGGTTATGGTTATTCATTATATCAAGCTCAAAACAAATATTGGCTGAGTAGCTGTGACTCAAAATATAATCTACAATCCTGAGGTTTGAGAGACAGTGCAGATGACGCATTACAAAACTGTCTTTTCTCAACACCTTAAACATTGTTATGAAGTTTACTATAATAATTTATTTACGAGTTGGTAGAAAAGTCTTTGTGAACAAACCATTATGAGTATTTTTCACTGTGTCATGAATTGTAGATTATTGGCTAGGGATTTGTGAACTGCAGGACAAAGTAGCCGTAGTTATTTAATAAAGCACTGTGCTTGCTGACACATGGATAATTGAGTACCTTTAATTACAGATGTAAAAATAGTGTATTATGGAAAACACTCATATTAGGAGTTGGCCAGTGTTACTCCGCCATATTTATTTTTTGCTATTTTATTTTGTACTAGATATTGCCTATATAAAAATCTTATAATTTCCTGGTAAAATATTTTATAAATAAATAAATAAAATAAATAAATATAATTTCAATTTTAACACATAAGTCATCTCACAATGAAATTATATAGAAGAATCTAGCCATGTGCACAGAGAGAATTGTTTTCTGAATATAGAACATTTTTAGGGGAAACAAAACATTGAGTTAGATGTTGGTTAGGCTTGACCAAATGTCAGTTCAGGAAACAAAGAATAATCCGGACAGGCGTGAGAATGGGTAAATCAGTGTGCAGCAAAATATATTCATAATATAGTATATGAATACATTTTGCAGTTCACTGATAGGAGCTTTTCCCCACCATTTGGTTCACAGATCAAGTGTGAAAAAGTAACTAATAGGGAGAAAAATTGTAGAAGCAGAAATAAAATCCATATTCATTTATTTATATATTATAAATATTTTTAAATAGGAAATACATAAATACAATATTTTTTTTTACTGCTACCCTGTTATTCCTCTATTGTTCACTTCTTTCTTTATCCGTGCGTACAATTAACATTTAGTCTCATTTAATAACTAACACATAATATCTAATTTTCCACTTTCTTTTAAAACAAAACACAGTCGCAGACCATGTGTGACAATCTAGAGAAAAAAATAGAAGAAAAAAATTAAAGATAAGAGATAATAAATAGTATAGGATAGATATTGCTGAATCTTTAGCAGCCAATATGAACGAGATCCATTGTATGTTCATTACCTTTGCACACAGAAGAATATCCAGAAAGTCTAAATGTCTCTTCTTTTTAATCGTCTCAAGTTCTTTTTCCTGTTTCATTGATTCCATTCTCTCTCTAATAACTTTAGCTGTTTGGAAAATATAACAAATGTTAACTTGTCTGCTACGTTCTACCAATAAAGAAGAAAAAACGTAGGGGTGTATTTATCACATTTTGTGAGAGATTATGTTTGTTTCTACGGTGATAGCTCCCTTATTTAGTACTTTGTCCAAGAATAGCACCTGTAGTTACTTTGGTAAAAATGACCCCAATGCATCTGTAGACTATAAATATATCCCTTATATTTAGTAAATAAAGATATATATATAAATATACATATTTTAAAGGGACTCTATAGTCACCAAAGCAGCATAATGAAGCAGTTTTTGTGTATAGATCATGCAGCTGAAGTCTCACTGCTCAATTCTCTGCTATTTAGGAGTTATAACACTTTGTTTCTGTCCATGCGGCCCTAGCCACACCTCCCCTGTCTGCGACTTGAACAGACTGCATTAAAAAAATGGCTTAATTTCCAATCAGATGTTAACTTGATTTAGAAGTCGTATCTCCTGGTTTGTAATTTTAACTTTGATCACACACAGGAGTCTCTTGCAGGGTCTAGCAAGCTATTAATAGTTTATAAGATAATATATTCTAAACTAAACAGACTTCACAATAAAGGAAGTGTAAATATGAAATATCAGTTTACAAGGAAGTTTTTAGGAAGGCTGTGTAAGTCACATGCAGGGAGGTGTGACTAGAGCTGTATAAACAAAGTGATTAACTCCTAAATGGCAGAGAATTGAGCATTGAGACTGCAGGGGCATGTTCTATACACCAAAACTGCTTTATTAAGCTGAACTTGTGGTTACTATAGTGTCCTTTTAAATAGCAATCCACCCTGTCTGTGTGTAAGAGGATCTGTCTATCGATATTTCTTTTTTTAATATTCTTTATTTAGAATCGAGTGCAATGTACAAGAAATTATAATGCAGGTTGCAAGTCACAGCATCTGCATTTTGTAACATGGAAAAACACATAACCCAACCACCAAAAATGAGAAAAAAGAAAGAAAAAATGGGAATTAATGCCCCCACATGCAATGCTATATTTCTATTTTTAGCAGTAATATAACAATTTAAGAAGTAAATCCCTTATTTCATGATGCCAAAACATAAGCCTGCCTCTCTAAAAATTTGGAGCAAATCTAGGTGCATCATGCTAAACTGGAACATAAATTCTATTAGTTTCCATGGTGATTTTTGTTTATCCCTTTGCCCTGGAATTGTTCCTGTTTAGGGTTGATAACTATGTTCTGCAATAAAGATGCATTTAAGCTTATTGATGTCTAAATATAAGAATAAAAATGTAAAACGTATGAGCAATACATTAGACTGAAAAATAAAATCTCTAAATGAATATGAAAACCGCATAAATACCAGTGTGTTGATGCGCTATCTTTAGCGCTCGGCGGAAGCGGAACCCATGGGGGCTCAGGTAGAAAATAAGATCATTGTGATACGGAATGCATCCAAAGCGGTAATCCACGATGTAACTGATGTCATATACTGCTTTAATATAGGCATTGTCACTGCAAAAAGACAAGCAATCCATTTAATAAGAGCAGGACCGGGGGTGAGACTAATAGGCTTTGCGGGTCACTGGGAGGTCTAGAGCAGTGACCACTAACTTTGACCTTGTAGATGTCTGATCTATATTTCCAATGAACGTTATGGAGAATTTAGTTCAGACACATCTACAAGGCCAATAAAGCTTAGACTGGTTTACTGCAACGGAAGCACCAGTGAAAACATTAATTACACATGCAACCTGCTATAGTTGGAAATGCTAATGCCCTGTTACTGTGATCACAAGGGACTAGACACAAGGGAAAAGGAAAATATTTTGTCTAAATCGATTTTTCCGGGAAAAAAAATGTTTCAGGTAAGTCGGGGTTTGTCCATATGGTGTTTTGGTTTGGGGAAATGATCCAGGCAGACCAAAATGTCGTAAAAATTGGCTAGTCGGTGTACTGCAAAAAATATACATAATATACTTTTTTTTCCGCCATTAGCATTACAGATCAAGCGACAAGAACTAATCAATGGAGGGGGAAAAAAAGGAAAGTAGTAAAAAAAATTATTAAATCATAAAATATAGATTTTTTTTTAGTACTCCTCCATCTTTTCCATCTATTGGTCACTTCTCATTTGATCTGCAAACAAAATCAACATTTAGTAAATGTTCCCTAGCCATTAATCATCTTTTTTTTCTTCTTAATCATCTATTTCTGATGCCCTGAGTGGAAATTAAGAAGCAAACAAAATTGTGAGTCCATTGCCCATTTTGTTTGTGATTCATCCATATAGAGTTTTGGGCTTCGTGATTTTGCACTAAGCACCCATCTCCCAAAATTCAGATGAATCGCAATTTATTTGAAATTTAATGTAAAAGTCTAGTGAGTACGATCCTGAGATCCACCCAGGAACAATGGCGATGGTCTATTACAGTAATGGTGTGAACTTTTTTTAAAAAAAGCATGAGTATTCATTTACCTTTCTTGAATAAAAATCTGAAGATCTAAAAAGTTAATTCCTCTCTTATTATGTTCCAAAGTTAAAATAATGCTGTTGTCGTTAGAATTAAAGTGCTTTACAATAACTCCAATGTGTTTACAGACCTGTCCCAATAAAGAAAATACATCATCAATACCTCCAAGCATGCTCCCCCAGCAGGCAGTGGACTTCCGATCTGCCATAAAGAGATTTGCATAACTCGGAGCGAACCTGGTCTCCATTGCATTCCCACATTTTTATAGATAAAATTAATTTTAAAAAATAAAATAAATAAAATTGGTTAAAATAATATCCATGCCTTCTTGATGTATTCTATTTGTTGTTCCAGAATAATCTTTTTTCGTGCCAGTATAATTTTTACCGATTGACAACCCTGTTGATGGGAATTAATAGTGTATAGCGAATGCACCTCATGTTACTAAGATAGATTTGGTGTCTCATGTCATTCCATCTAAAACTTGGATTGTAGAATCTTTTAAATAAAACTTTGTTTTTTTTAAACAGAATGTTGTAATAAAACATCTAAATATTCAAATACAATTGTCAAGAGGAAGCCTATATCCACCATGATAGGTCTCCCGGGGGATTTTTCTCATATTTATGTATTATTGAGAGGAAGTATATAACTGGGACCTTAGGGTATAGCACAGTAAGATAAGTAAATTCATGTTCATTGAGCAAACTAGATAGTTTTCCTTTCTCAATGTAGTTTCTGTGTAGGGTCAAATGTACATTTTTCATAGACCTTAATGTCATCTAATTGTTTGAGGGCCTCCTCAACATACATATCGTTAGGAAGTATGACTAAGCCTCCGCCTTTGTCAGTGGGTTTTATAATAATTTCTTTGCTATTCTGAAGTTGTTTTGAGGCTTCTTGTTCTTTTCTTCTTTGGTTCTGATGGTCGTATTTATTATTCCTACTATTTTGCAGGTCTTTAATAAGAAGTTTTTCAAATACCTCCAATGGGCCAGATTTATTTCCATATGGGTATAATGTAGATCTTTCTTTTAGAGTAGTACTTACTATGCAGTGATTAGATTAGTACTGCTTAGAGTAGTCCTTTTAGTGCAGTGATTAGATTAGTACTGATTAGAGTCGTACTTATTGTGCTGTGATTGTGAGAAATCCGATCAGCAGATGTTGAACACTAGTGTCTTTGATCTACTGTTTAAAGGGACACTCCAGGCACTCAGACCACTTCTGCCCATTGGAGTGGTCTGGGTGCCAACTCCCACTACCCTTAACCCTGCAAGTGTAATTAATGCAGTTTTCATAAACTGCAATATTTACCTTGCAGGGTTAACTCCTCCTCTAGTGGCTGTCTACTGGTCCAATTTTGACAGCCACTAGAGGGCACTTCCTGATTCATAGCACAGGTTTTCTGTGCCATATTGTTGCTGGACGTCCTCACGCTATGTGAGGACCTCCAGCGTCGCTGAAATCCCCATAGGAAAGCATCTGTCTCCCCGCTGGATGTCGTGGAGATGGGGAGGAGCGTGGGCGGACCAAGAAGCAGCGGCGAGGGACATTGTCGCTGCCTCTGGTAAGTCACTGAAGGGGAGGTGGGAGGGAGAGGGGACCTGCAGTGCCAGGAAAACGGATTGTTTTCCTGGCACTGGAGAGTCCCTTTAACAAGATAGCAGTATTTCTATTCAAGGAGGAAGACATTCTAGTTGTACAACCTGTTATTCTGGCAGTTACTATGGTAACTGAAGGCACATTTCATGATGGTGTCCAGTGTCATCAAGCTGACGTAGTGAAAAAGCTCCACTGATTTCTTCTCAGGCACCAGTTTTTCCCATTTATCCTAAATGCAGAAAGACAAAATAGGAAGAAACCAATCTATAACGTACACAATGTCAATCGTTTACTACTGACTACATCATATTACACTGTATCAGTCATTTACTACTGACTATATCATATTACACTGTATCAATCATTTACTACTGACTACATCATATTACACTGTATCAATCATTTACTACTGACCACATCATATTACACTGTATCAATCCACAATATTTATTGTTATTAAGGGGGCACTGTAGTCACCAAAACAACTCTAGCTTATTGAAGAATCTTTTGTGTATAGATCATGCTTCGAAGTTTCACAACTCAATTTACGTCCATTTAGGAGTAAAATCACTTGCTTCTGTTTATGCATACTTCAAAAAGCCAGGAAAGACAAGGTTTAATCTGTATTTTAACCGTACCTTCCCCTTAATCATATTATAATATGGTGGCATACTGATTAGGTCAGCATGACTCATGTCCAAAAGTGGCCCCACACTATTAAATATAATATTCATTTTATGATTACCAGCATAACGTTGGCACAATCTGACATTATCTTCACATACGGCTTCAGTACATCGTAGTGAAATCCAGGGGTTATCAGCCGACGGTGCTGGAACCACTTCTGTCCAGACAAAACCAACAGACCCTTCCCTAATAATACACATCGAATTGAACTGGTTCAAAAATCACCAAATTGTGGAAAACTGACAAGAGAATTATAAATTCAGAAAAGAAAAATTCTTCAAACCACCTTGGATATTTTCAATATAGTTAATATATGGTAATTAATCTTTCAGAATAGAACAGTGCTTCATGGAATGACAGCAAATTATTTGAATACCTACACCAGATTAAAAAATATGTCTCACCTACCATCCAGGAACAGGGCTATTATTCACTAAAACGTGAATTGAGAAAATGTCTAGTTTTTTGGAATGGAGAGAGAGAAACAGACTAATCATTGATAACAGGTCCATATGAAGTAGTTGCTGTTGCATTATAACTGGTGAAAATATATTACATACCAATCCACGGAGTTATAAAGTAGTACCCAAAATTATCCTTTGGATCTGTAAAAAGACAATACATAACATGTGAAGCTTGTAACACGTGACATAAACCTGCCATCCATTCACCCACTGATAACTGATACTGGCATGACGATGGGGATAATGGCTGCGTAGGTGTAGCCGGCCCCTGATTTCAGGCCATCAAGTGGAAGATTTATAAAAGTAAAAATAGGAACTGCTCTTTGACATAGTACTAAGCAGGAAAAAAAACACTATGGAAACCAATATAGTTTCTCTTAACGTTTATGACTTTTCTCCAGAATAGAATGTTTTGTCTTTATAAATCTTCCCTAAAAAGCCTCAGACCTTATGATACCCTGTCTAACAAGCAGCACGAGTGCAGTTAATTGTAGAACTGGCAGTACTATTATTCCTTTCCTGAAATCTCATCATTGTGCTCACTAGATTTAAGAGCAGAATGCACCAAATTTGGACCAGTACGGTGATATGTGTGCTGTCTGGTGCCCACATCTCCTTCACTAGACACCAGGACCTATAGCATCCAGTCCTCTCCACCCCAACCCACCAGTAAACTGGGGGAAATGGGGACAAATAATTGAGCAGCAGGTGACGGACAGGGATCCATTTTTATGCACAGGCACCCCCCACCCCCCAACTCATTATTACCCCCCTGGAGAGTGAGGATTTAATTTAAATTCTATGAGGCAGTGTCACACAGGGTTATTTACTTAACCTTGGAATTATAAAGAATTAAAAATGGACTTGCAAATTGTAGGTGATGTAGAGAAAACGCAGAGCTCTCAGTCAAGTGGACATGTAGATCACAAGTACCACACACCTCATGGCAATGTGGTCAACAAGTTTCATAGGTATAATATTTTTTCAAGGTTTGTGAAAAAGTACTACACATACAAAATGCGTTGACCACAATCTTGTGACCAAATATTTGGTATACTCAGATATTTTCTCAGCAAAGGCATAGAAAAACCTGCAGGGATATGCTACAGACTCCAGAACCACAGCATTATGCTGTAGGGGTTCTGGTAACCATCCTGTCCCTTTAAGTAAAGAAACTGTATATATATATATATATTCCAGTAACTAAATATGACAATTGGTTCACAATACATCCAGTCTTCCTTACCTTGTCTTGTGAGAATGGCCTTGGCATAGTCAGGATGGCAGATCATGAGTGAGGCAAAGAATTTCCCCATCCATAACGGGTAGGCGTATGGGTATTTTTCAGCATAGCGATTCAAAATGTCCAAGTCTTTCCCATCTCCTTTGAACTGCAGGCATAAAATACATTTTTATCCAAACTGGAATATTAAACTAATAAATGTATTAACCTTCTTTACTTGGAAAATGCAAACTAAATCTGGTATATAGGCTTCAAAATAATAGGAAGTTTAGATGATAATGCCAGCTATACACAAACACATAGTGTATATATGCTCCTTAGCATGAGTGGAAAGTATGGTGTAATGATCTTATTAAAATCCAATTCATTTAATCTCTCACATATGGGTTAGTACTAGGGATGCACCGAAATTCCGGCTGCGGAAATTTTCTGCCGAAAATGGGCCTAACACATTTCGGCCAAAAAAAGGGTCAAATCTGCCAAAAACACCCCCTCCCCTTGCCCTGCGTGCACAGATATCCCAACTCTCCTGGAGGTTCTAGGAGCTATCCCCGTTCACCTTGATAGAGTGAAGCGCATTTGCTTTCTGCCTCTCTAAACATGGCAGCCACGCATGTGCGAAGTGATGTGAATGAATGGATCACCAACACTGTATAGATTGATGAAAAAAAAAGGATTGCAGTTTATGTGCTATTGACATATAACTCTTCAGTAGTATATATAGCCAGTAAGTATGCTCTTAGCCAGCTTTAGTTTTACAGACAGACAGTATGATTTCAACTCTTGTATTTCCTACAACCTTTGCCTGCAGAATGTATTCATAAAATATAATTGCTTTATTGAAGTTGACCTTCATCTTCATCCACCTATTTCAATTTGATGGAGCAAATTTACATAGCAATATTCGGTAAAACGGTCTACAATGTTAGGTCACCTTCATTAAATTCATTAAAAAGTCTAATATTAATACAATTATAGGAAAAAAAAACATTGTAAAATCATTTGGGGAAAAAAGTCATTTTCGGTTTTCGGCCAAGGGCATCCTGAATTTTCGTTCTCGGTTTTGGCCCAGAATTTTAATTTCGGTGCATCCCTAGTTAGTACACATAATGCAAGAAAATAAATATAGGCAACAGCAGGCTTATGATTTTGCAGAGAAAGTTGGTCACATTGTATCGTATAGCAAATATTCTAGATAGAAAGACAGACAGACAGACAGATAGATAGACAGATAGATAGATAGATAGATAGATAGATAGATAGATAGATAGATAGATAGACAGATAGATAGATAGATAGATAGATAGACAGACAGACAGATAGATAGATAGACAGACAGACAGATAGATAGATAGATAGATAGATAGATAGATAGATAGATAGACAGATAGATAGATAGATAGATAGATAGATAGATAGATTTCCAATAAAGTCAAGCCTCAACAGAGGGCTTAACTCCAATAATTGCCTGCAATTAAAACATCACTTTGATGTTAATTCTTAAAAGTCCTCAATCAATAAAGAAAGAAAAGAAACAAATAAATAATTAAGAATGTGGAATAGTGATAAGTGACCAGTGCCCCAAACAAAAGGCACAAGGAGGGGAATAATCTGCACTTACTATCAACAATTAAACATCTAATATTAATTGAATCTGATTCCTATTTAATATATTTGCACACTACACATCTACCACATCTGACCGCGCCAACCAGAGAACTGTGTAGCCAACGTTGGTTCTTTTTAGGGCCCGGTTGGAGATGACTCGGAACTAGCAGAAGCTGTGTGCCGTGAAGATCACAAATGGATAGAATACATCCTTAAGATGTGGATCATATATAAGCAGAGGCCAGAAATATTGTAGTGTTTGTTTCATGAATTGCCAGCCTGCCATATGAGGTCCAATTATTCTGATAATTTTCTTGGATTCATTAGAGGGACGCTGATGTTCACAAAAGATCTGTCTATCAGTCTCTAACGCTTTATTATATGCTTTTGAAAGAGACTTTTTTGAGTAGCCCTTCTCCCTTATTCTTGGAGAAAGCGGAATTAGATGTGGAGGTTATCAGGATCTACACATCTTGCTACATTGCCTCTGGATTATTCATATTATTTGAAAGAGTGAACTGTACCTTTATTTCCGAGTGTTATGATCATGCTTCCAGTTTTCTTTATTTATGTCATAGTACGTCATCTTCTCTTTAAGAGTACGGTATTAATATATTGGTCACTGTTAAATCTTCTTAATTTCTTCTTGTCTTCAGTTGATTGATATAAATACGTCTTTTGTATACATAGTCTTGGGCCAAATTTGCTCTCAACATTAATATGTCTATATTAATGAAAAGTACTAATACGCAATCTGACTTACGGTTTCTTCAGGTTTATTCTTAGTTACTGATACATAATAAAACAACAAATTATGTTACAGGATAATGGACATTCAACAGCAGATGGTAATTGCTGGACTTCTGATGGGAGAGTTACATCTTGTACAGGAAAGAGAGCCAAGAACCAAGAGAGCGAGAGACTTCGTGTTCAGTTACTATATAGATATGACCATAATGACATCAGATTATAACTCTAGCCATATAAGGACAAAACCCCCAATTTACATTGCAGAGCTCTCAGACAAAGAAAGCCATGTGACTTAGACCCTCTGTTACTTATGTCAATCCACACATCCATATATAATCAATAGAAACATAGAACATGCAATATTCTACAGTTTTCCTTACTGGTTACAGAAAATCTTGTATTTCTTTCATACAGACACTATTGGTGAGCAACACGTTTTTATATACTGAGATTGTTTTATTGTGTTTATTAATCTTGAAAGAAGCTCCAGGGAGCAATTAACATGCAATGTTTGTGTCTGCTATATGGAGGACGTGCACTGGTGATTAGCTGAATATCTCTCTATTTATAGAGTTGAATAAATGTTTTTATTGGTTTTACTGTAGAAGCCGATACTGTTATATTTATTCTGAGATTTGGAGTCACCAAAGGTTTTACCTGTAGATTTGCAGAAATAGTTGTAAAATCTTACCAGAACAGAAGTTCCTCTACTATGACATTGAATTTGAGGAATTTTAGAATAACAGGCTTTTGACTCCTTAACTCACCCCCCCTATCTTTCATCTTAGCTAGCAAGGATCTATTGAAATTAGAAGCAGAAAATAATACGTTCATATCAGGTATATGGGGCTCATAGCAGGGTATATATAGCTGATATACGGCAATTATCATTACTCATCTTGTGGCATCTTTGCAGGATTAATGATAAATGTTATCACTTATCACAATGAAAGGTACAGGAGATCAAAGTACAGGTTTCATATGTCATAAAATGAATTGATAAAAAAATATAAGGTGAAATCCGAATCTCTAAATATTATCAGTAAAGGGATAAGACATGAATACAGGTGCTCAGTGTGTTATATTTATGTTACAGAATAATTGTCTTTGCAGAAGTTAATAGCACGTCTTAGGAACTAACTAAAAGTTACCTATTAGTTGCGCAATTTATATAAAATATCCTTGTTTTTTCACTGTATTCAAATTTATCGCAAATGAACGTTTGTGCTGAAAAACAAGATATTATGGTAAATACAGTGTGTTCAAAGTATCTCAGGAAGATGTAAGAACTGCTCGGAAGAGAGTTGGTATGCAGGGAATTCAATAACGTAGACTTTTTCCAACTTGGCTATTTTGTAACATCACCTTAATTCTCTACCTAACAAATAAACCTTTAAGATGCCACAGGCATTAAAGAGACACTATAGTCACCTGAACAACTACAGCTTAATGTAGTTGTTCAGGTGAGATCTATAGCACCCTGCAGGCAATCTAATGTAAACACAGTATTTTCAGAGAAAATACAGTGTTTACATTGATTGATAGGAATCCCTCCAGTGGCCGTCACTCAGACGGCCACCAGAGGCACTTCCTATCATGTAGGGCCCTAAAAAGGCCCTGTACACGTCAGACGTATTAAAATACGTCTGACATGTGCAGGAGAGAGAAGGCACTGTGTGCGCGCCTTCTCTCTCCTGCCTGTCAGCCGAGGAGAGGGGACGGGCAAAGACCGCAAGCTGAGCTGTCAGTCAGCTCAGCTCGCGGCCGCGCACACCGCACGCATGCGCGGTAGTGCGCTTAGGACTTCAGAGGGCGGCATGAATGGAAGCGTCTAATTGCGCCCTGCTCGCGCCTGCCTATTTTGTCATTTTGACGAAATGGGGGGCGCGGTTTCACGAGGCTCCCGGCGCTGCAACCAGGTGAGTAAAACGGGTTGGCTGGAGAGTCCCTTTAAGCAATGTGGCATATATGGATGGTGGCAATACAGGGTTACGTTGTCCTGTTGGTACAGTTATGGAAAGTTTCGTGAGAGTTCCTGACACCTGGTTAGGTTGTTGGGCAGATTTGGTGACACAGCTGTTGCTGGGGACAAGAGCTGGCTGAGGATTGGTTGCAGGCTGCGAGCCAGTGAAGCGCGGAGAGCCAGGTGAGCAGAAAAAGTGGAAGCGCAGTCCCTGTCAGCTGTTTGCAAGGCAGGAGAAGCACGGATGACCCCCGTCCTCACTCCCCTATTTGCTAACTTTCTTTATAATTCATGTCGTGGTGTTGGAAAGCATGGGGGCAAAGTCATCCTCAGGTTCAAGTTCTGAAGAAGGATATGTGTTAAATGGTTGTATATAAAAGGCGGTCAGGTTAGCTATGACTGACTGGCAATTAAGTGATGGTGAAAGTTAAAAGTTTGGGAAGAAAAGTGAAAAGTTTATGTAAATATGTTACCGTTATTAAGTTATGGTGGTATGCCCCTTTTTAAGCTTTAAATAAACACCACGGCCTAGCCCATTGAAATATACATAAACTGTGTCAGTGTTTACTGTGTGGTCTAAGTTATTTATGCAAAATATTGCCTACTCACACACATTACACCCCTTATACACACACACACACTGCCCCCTCACACACAGATAGAACCCCTCACACAGACTGCTTCCTCACACAGACTGTCCCCTCACACACACTGCCCCCTCACACATGCACTGCTCCTGCCACAAATGCACTGCTCCCCTCACACATGCACTGCCCCCAACACACTCACACACACTGACTGCACCCTCACACACACACACAGACTGCCCCCTCACTCATGCACTGCCTCCTTCACACATGCACAGCATCCTCCACACATGCACAGTACCCTTCAAAAATGCACAACACCCTTCACACATACACAGCACCTCTCACACACACACAGCACCTCTCACACACATACTCACAGCACTGCTCACACACACACAAAGCACCTCTCACACAAGGCATCTCTCACACACACAGCATCTCTCACACATGCACTGCCCACTTCACACATGCACAACACCCATCACACACGCACAGCACCCTTCAAACACGCACGGCACCTTTCACACAAACACAGCACCTCTCTCACACACACTACACCCTTCACACACATACAACACCCCTCAGACACAGCACTCTTCACACACTGCACCTATCTATATGACTAAATGCCTACCAATACTCTAAATTCCTGTCAATACTGTCAGCAGTCTTCAGAATCCTTCTATGTTCTGTGCTAATCAGATAGAATGGCTCTAACTATATTCAACACTTTACACATAGATTTCTCACTATTGTAATGGATTTCTCAATAGTGTCCTGCTCACTATCAGTGCTAGTTTCACTACTATCACTCTTCTGATAATGATCTCTCTGCGCTCTTCACTGTTCATGAGGCTCTGATTTTTTTTTCTTCCATTTTTCAGTTTTGAAGAATTGTGGACAAAAAATGTTCAGTTTGATTTAAAATTTGGGTTTGATTCAAAATTTTGGTCCAATTGGACCTGAAAATCGCCAGGGAATCCCTAAAATAAAAAGGAAAAGGGTGCATATAGTGTCCCTTTAATATTTTTTTTTTTTTTTTAAATCAGCTACTCCCAAAGTGTAAATTAGTGATTCAGAGTTGGTGCTAACTGGCAGTGGCTACTAGACGTGTGCACAATGAACATTTTAAATTTCTTCTGAATTGATATGGTTGGGATTTTTGAAATTTTTTGGTTGTTATTGATATCGGTTATAGTTTGTTTTGAGATTCTGAGATTCAAAATTATATCGAATCTGTTGGAAATTCTACCAAATTTTAATTCATTGTGATCTAGATCTCCAAGTCTACCCCAGCCAACCCTAATGAAAATGTATTTAGATATCTGGAATGCCAAACTTTTTCATCACTTTTCTATCAAAGGGATAAAGTGACACCTGCATGCAGCTTACCTCGTTGGCATGCCCAAACAGCCAGTGGGTCTTAGGACCCTGGAAATCTTTAAATGTTGCCAGCAGCTCCCTCCTTGTCAGGTACAGTTTGCATGCTTTGAATATTGTAAACAGGGCACAGAGCCAGGCCGCCCATTGGCAGAGCTGAGTTATGTTTAGGGACAGCAGATCAAGCAGTAGTGAGGATGCCATGGTAGCGGGACACAGAGACTGCACAGCCACTCAGCTGGCAAAGAGATTGCTCCCTTTAATGTAACCAGGCAAAGAAATGTATCTGTGTCGCTGTCATGAGAAAACACCTGTCCGGAAGAGAATTGTTACAAGGTTCAATGTCTACGGGAGGCGATCAGGGCTGGGAGGAGGGAGACCACAGGGAGAAATAGGAGATTTAACAGACTGTAAACAGAACTCATCTGTAATGCACCAAGCCTATTGAAAGTACAAGCAAACTTCGATTAACCTTTATTTAAAGCAGTTTTGGTTAAATTATTAAGTCATGAACTGTAAAGTAAGCTGCAAATTTCAGATCAAACAGAGATTTTAGAGAAATTAAACCCGAGTTAGGGGTGTTTCTCCATTTTAGCTTTTTTTTTTTAAAACAATGATCTGCAATTCCCTTGTCAGTTTTCCACAATACATGTTTTTGTGCATTAGAAGTTATTAAACAGATACATTTCATCAGTTTCCAACCTTTGCTCTACTTAGCAGTAGAACCTGCATTAACTGCTTTCAGCATACTATAGATAACTGATTCTCTGCGATCCCACTGTATATTGTTTGCCATAGGCTGTAACTCCTCCTCCTTGATCCATACCAACACAGAATCATAGTTACATACTTACATAGTTACAAAGGTTAAAAAGAGGCATGCATCCATCAAGCTCAGCCTTTCTCGTATTAGGTTTTGCTTTTGATCCAAAATAAGACACACAAAAAAAGATAAAGTTTAAAGCACTAATTTTGCAACAAATTAGGAAAAAAAATCTTTTTGACCACAGAATGGCAGTCAGATCTCTCCTTGGATCAAGAAGCTGTTACCCAAAATAATAAAATAAAATCCATGAATATTATGCTTCTGCATCTGCACAGACTCTGATTAAACCACTTCAGTCAGAGAATTCCATATCGTTATTGTTCTTACTGTAAAAAACCTTTTTCCTTTGCATTAGACCAAATCTCCTTTCTTCCAGTCTAAATGTGTGACCTCTTGTCATATGTATAGACCCGTTTATTGTGAAAGACTTTCAGACAATGGTTTATATAGATACACAAAAGTAACTCCTGCGCTCAGACTCCCACTAATGACATAATTATTAACCCTTAATAGGGAACCCATGTGGTGGGCGGCAGCATTGTAACATAGGTGTGTGATACAATAGCAAATAGAAATACACAAAAAATAAGTCATGTGCTTAGACTCCCACTACTCCTGGGCAGCAGCAATGACCATAGCACACATCAGCCCCAATACATACAATAAAAAACAATGAAAATCGTTACTTGCGCAGAAGGAAGCAAGGTGAATTGTTAGTGTAGGATCCATCCAAGAGGTTTACCTTGATGTGGCAGGTGGGCTTACAATCTAGTGTTACTAAAAACCTCCAGTAATTTAAATATGCATAGGGATTTGGGATAGTGTGCAAGTAACTATTTTCTTTGTTTTTTATTGAATGGTTTATATAGGCTCTGGATAAATTTGTAATAATGCTATCATATGCCCTCCGAGGCACTGTTTATTTTCTAAACTAAAAAAAGTTTAAATTTGTTAACTTTTTTCTTCTAACTAAAATGTTCCATTCCTTGTATTAATTTTGTAGCCCGTCTCTGCAATTTTTGTAGTGACATAATATCTTTGTTTAGAAGAGGTGCCTAATATTGCACAGCATATTCAAGGTGTGGACTTACCATTAATTTATAAACAGGCAAACTTATTTTCATCCTGATAATTAATGCACCTTTTTTATACATGACATTACCTTACTGGCCTTAGCAACTGCTGATTGACATTGCACAATGTTACATAGTTTGTGGTCTATAACAATTTCCAAATCTGTCTTGTGTGTTGTTATCCCTAATTCGCTATCATTTAGGGTGTAATTTGTTATGCATTCTTCACCCCAAAGTGCATAAATTTGAATTAGTCCACATAAAATTTCATCGTGCATTTGAGTGTCCAATCCCCCAGTCTAAATCCCTCTGTAGCAAAGTAACATCCTGATCACATTGTATTACAGAGTTTTGTGTCATCTGCAAACACTGAAACTTGACTTTCAATGCTGTCTTCAAGATCATTTATAAATATATGAAAAAAAAAGTCGTTCCAGAAAAGAATCCCGAGAGACACGACTTACCACTTCTGCCCAGCTTGAAAATGTACCATTAATTCCAACTCTGGGTACTCTGTATTTAAACCAATGCTGAACTCTAGACAATGTAGCAAGACTGTATGTGACATTATTGATTTTAATCTTGTCCATAGTATGCCATACTTTGATGAATATAAGTCACATCCATATATTTTAACTTTAAATTCATAAGGAGAAAATAAAGCAACTCTTTGAATATATATATATATATATATATATATCGATATAAATACCGTTTAGTGCATATTATCTATCTTTGGTGTATTTTATCCCCCCTTAGTGTCTCTTGTGTCTCTTACACCATGATTTTCCTCTCCCCCTCTTGTGTCTCTTGTATCTCACCCCTCTCTTGTGGACTCTAGTAGATAATCTTCTGTATCCTCAACTTTGTCTGACAAGAATCTGGTCACTGCTCTCAGCAAGGAGCTTCCTGTCAGACAGGGGAGAGGATAAAGAAGATCCTCTACCATGGTCTACGAGGTCACATAGCAGAGAGTGACAAACATGAGGGGGCTCTGTGCTCCGGTCAGCCAGACATTGTGCTAGGTGACACTCGGAATATAGAATGCAGGTAGTCTTCTACCACTCCCAACAAACAGTTTATTTCTCAGAGGTAGAGTTGAGTGGACACCTGGATGTTCGGGTTCGCCAGGTTCGGCCGAACTTCGGCAAAAGGTTTGAGTTTGGGACTCGAACTTGACCCAGAACCCGAACCCCATTGAAGTAATTTGTTTGGGTGGGAGGGTGACTAGGGGCTTGGGGACCCTTAGTCACCTTGAATGGGGGGGTAATTTTCATTTAGGGCCGCTGCTCAGGGGTGGGGGCCAGGGGGAGGACAGTAGGTTGTCCCCCCTTATCCTTATTTAGGGCCCCCACCCGCCACTCAGGTGTGGGGTCCGGGGAGGAGGACAGTAGGTGTCCCCCTTATCCTTATTTATGGCCCCCACCCGCCGTTCAGGGGTGGGGGCTGAGGGGGAGGACAGTAGGTCCCCCCCTTTATCCTTATTTAGGGCCCCCACCCGCCGCTCAGGGGTGGGGGGTAGAAGGGAGGACAGTAGGTTCCCCCCCTTATCCTTATTTAGGGCCCCCACCCACCGCTCAGGAGTGGGGGCCAGGGGAAGGACAGTAGGTCTCCCCCTTTATCCTTATTTAGGGCCCCCACCCGCCGTTCAGGGGTGGGGGCTGAGGGGGAGGACAGTAGGTCCCCCCCTTTATCCTTATTTAGGGCCCCCACCCGCCGCTCAGGGGTGGGGGGTAGAAGGGAGGACAGTAGGTTCCCCCCCTTATCCTTATTTAGGGCCCCCACCCACCGCTCAGGAGTGGGGGCCAGGGGAAGGACAGTAGGTCTCCCCCTTTATCCTTATTTAGGGCCCCCACCCGCCGCTCAGGGGTGGGGGGTAGAAGGGAGGACAGTAGGTTCCCCCCCTTATCCTTATTTAGGGCCCCCACCCACCGCTCAGGAGTGGGGGCCAGGGGAAGGACAGTAGGTCTCCCCCTTTATCCTTATTTAGGGCCCCCACCCGCCGCTCAGGGGTGGGGGGTAGAAGGGAGGACAGTAGGTTCCCCCCCTTATCCTTATTTAGGGCCCCCACCCACCGCTCAGGAGTGGGGGCCAGGGGAAGGACAGTAGGCTCCCCTTTATCCTATTTAGGGCCCCCACCCGCTCAGGGTGGGCTGAGGGGGAGGACAGTAGGTCCCCCTTTATCCTTATTTAGGGCCCCCACCGCCAGGGGTGGGGGGTAGAAGGGAGGACAGTAGGTTCCCCCCCTTATCCTTATTTAGGGCCCCCACCCACCGCCAGGAGTGGGGGCCAGGGGAAGGACAGTAGGTCTCCCCTTTATCCTTATTTAGGGCCCCCACCCGCCGCTCAGGGGTGGGGGGTAGAAGGGAGGACAGTAGGTTCCCCCCCTTATCCTTATTTAGGGCCCCCACCCACCGCTCAGGAGTGGGGGCCAGGGGAAGGACAGTAGGTCCGCCCCTTTATCCTTATTTAGGGCCCCCACCCGCCGCTCAGGGGTGGGGGGTAGAAGGGAGGACAGTAGGTTCCCCCCCTTATCCTTATTTAGGGCCCCTACCCACCACTCAGGGGTGAGGGCGGGGGGTAGGACAGTAGGTCCCCCCCTTATTCTTATTTAGGGCCCCCACCCACCGCGCAGGGTTGGGGGCCAGTAGGTCCCCCCCTTATCCTTATTTAGGGCCCCACCCGCCACTCAGGGATGGGGGCTCAGGAGTGGTGAACCTTTTTTTTTTTTAACAGTGAGCAGTCCCACAGGACTTTTTTAGAATGCTACAACTCAAACTCAATATTCATTTGTCACGCTGAGTGCTAGATATGGATACGGCAAGCTTACAGTCACAGCATTGCTTGTTTTATCTGTCTCAGTCTTCGCTAAATAAAAGAAGCGTGTTAATCATTTTTTACTTACCGACAAGGTCACTGTTTAATAGACATGCCCCTACTCACGGTATAGCGAGTAGGGGCATCATTTACTAATACTAAGTAATCTTTACCTTTTAGTAGATAGCTCTCTAATACCGTCAGAATTAGGGAGTTATCTACTTATTCATTCCTGTCATTACATGACTGGCTAAGTAACTTACATTTTATATGAATGTATGTTACTTGATTGTTGTAAGTGTTGCAAATGCTTACAGCTGAATCCTGGCTATGTTTGTATACTTTTTATTTAAAATTGTATACAGTGTAACATTCTTCTTCTTCCACTGGGTAAGTATATTAGTTCTTAGGCAATACATTTTACTTCCTTTTGCAGCCCTCTAGCCCTTTCCAGGACTTTTTTAGAGCCATTTTAGTGTCCAAAAGTTCGGGTCCCCATTGACTTCAGTGGGGTTCGGGGTCAAGTTTGGGTCAAGTTCGAGTCCCAGACTCGAACTTTTTGCCTAAGTCTGGCCAAACCTGGCGCACCCGAACATCCAGGTGTCCGCTCAACTCTACTCAGAGGCAATAATATGAGCTTCAAACTGTACTGATTGTGTAGACTACAATTCCTATCATATTTACCAAGCTAACAGATGCCTGTGAATGATAGGACTAGCAGTACACAGCAAAACCATTTAAATAGTGTAGTTGTTTTGGCACACCTGTTTCTCACAGGTTCTTCCTCTGCCAAAGTCTTCTCTTGCTATCACATCTATAGTTTGTATCCGCGTGTGGGTAAGGACTGTCTGTCATAAAATCTCATTTACCTGGCTAGCTCCTTGCGTATAATTAGGACAGAACCTTCACTAGATGTACAGGGTGGTTTTATGCATCTCTTTAAAGTAATTATGCTACTGGGTTTATAGTATATGGCGAAGCTATAGTAAGTTTAGTGAGAACTAGAATTCTCCATGTGGAGGATTTTGGATTTTCTTTGCCGTTTTCAATGACAGTTGCTGACAAAGAAGGGTCAAGGCTGCTGAGATCATGTGATGTCAACAGACAATCAGAGTCTGTGTTATGCACGATAGCTCCCAGTTTGGTTTATACAGTTTTGAAAATGTTATACATTCTATATGATACTTTAAAATGCTATACATGAGAAATTTCATTGTCTTGGAATACAGAGTTTATAGAAACATCATGAAGTGTAGGAGAATTGCTAAATGCATGAAATAGGTGAATGGTAATGAATACACCATATCTCCTCCCCTGCAAATTTTAATGCCCAAGATATTTTTGGTCCTACAGTACAAAGTCTAGATAATCCCATGACATGTTGAGAAAGCACCAAGGGGATGCGAAACGCGTCCAGGGCTTTATTACTCATAGCCGTGTGGGTGGTCTCTCCCCTGTCTGGCAGCTGCAGGTTGTACTGTTTTTCACTACATATTTTTTTGACATTTTTTTTTCCCAATTCTCTGCCTACGTTTGCTGCTTATACTTGAAATCCTATGCCACTTCAATACACCATGTAGTTTGTATGATATGTCACACTTGTACAACCTGCAGTATTATGAGGGCTGCCATGTCAGTTTGATGCCATGTTCTTATCGGCTACATATATTTTTCTACTAATAAAATTGCACTTTTTTCATAGTTCTGTTTTTCTCTGTGACTTATATGAGGATTACCCATGTTTGTGCAGACTATTGTTTATCTTTTGGGACTTATCATTTAACATTGGGAAAAGTCCAGCACCGGGGTTACATCTCTTTGCATGATTTTAAAAATCTGAATCACAACTGGAACATTCCCCCTTTTTAATATATATTTTTTTTTAATATTTGTATTATTTTACTCAGGGATGCGGCAACCCTTGTGAATGGGATGACATATCACATTTGCTAATTTATTCTACATCTAGATAATCCCACGTGTTCCTCAATTATGGCGGTCAAGTTGTTCTCACAGGTGCTCGCCTGACCAACTGTGACCTTTTCTTTCCTACATATAATGCTGTTTATAGTTTTCAAGAATATCCATTGAAGGCTGTACTGGTTCACTTGCAATATATCCTAAATGACGAAACTTTACAAAGTCTACAATTGTAACATAAATAAATACCTATACCTTTAAATAGCAGTGGAGATTGAGGGTGTCTTCTTTAAACATCTGCAATCACTTTTAAAGCGCACCTGCTGATTAAATTACCATTTCCTCAGCTGTATTATGTTCCTTCCTTCAGATACATTGTCAGCGAATGGAACTTTGAGAGATACATTACCTGAGGAACTGGCAGTGATGTATGAGAATGGAAATTTTCTCCAGCAATATGTGCGGTGCGTAGTTTTGGTTTCCTATGCCTATAATTTTAGCGGGGGTTTATACATGAGGTACAGCTGAAATTTGATTGTTGAGTCATTTAAACAAAAAAAAACAAAAACAAAAAAAAACTACAAACAAACAGCAACATGAACATTATACCCTACACTGCCCTATCAGAATCTAATAACCACCAGATGTGCTTGCTGAAAAATGTATCTAAGCAACTACAGCTCATGCTCTGTGTATCTTTAGATTGTCTGCTTGTTTGGACAGGGCACTCTTCATCTACTGTTTCCGTATGTCGTCCATGTTTTGTTAGAATTAAATGTTTGTCTTTTTTACCTATTGTACAGCGCTGCAGCATATGCTGGCACTATAAATCATTTTAATGTTATATGCTGTGACGAGCTACTGGATAACCATCTATAGGGCATTTCCCTTGCTCTCTTGTGTCAGTCTGTAGTCTGTGCAGAAAGCTACAATGTAGTCTGTGCAGAAAGCAACAGCTGATTGATACGTGGGTGCCAGACAATATTTTATAAATGTTTTACATTTGCTAGTACTTCTGATTGAACAATTATAGATTACATTGTTTTTCTTTCACTGTAAAGTATTGCATATATTAACTGATGCACAGATTAAGGGATTACAAATTCTGTAAAATCAATATGTAATTAGATGTGTTAATTAGATTATAAAAAGTTCATTATAATTTAATCAACATGTTTAAAATAACCATAATGACACATTTGAATTTATTAGATTATTTTCAATGTAAAATGTGGCTTAATATTCTCGTGAAAGTCATTATATCACAAGTCCCTCAGAGAAGATGAGTCAGATTTTCTCTTTTTTCTCTTCTGTTTCCACCTTCTTGAAGCGGAGGTAAATCCCATTCACAGAACGTAAGACAAGCTGAGCCAGTTTTAGTGGCTCGTTGTCAGGGTCAGGACTGATCTCGAATCTCTTTAGGGTCAACGCTAAAGCCACTTTCATCTCATTCATAGCAAAATTCTGTCCAATGCAGTTCCTGTGGAAATTAAAAGATTTAGTTTTCACCTCACAAACAAAAAAGTTTAGTTATCATAAGTGTATACCTTTATTAACCCTAACAGCATGTATACATGCACTATGATATACCATTACTTTACTTCTCCACTCTTTCCCAGTCCACGTCTCCACCCACAGGAGAAACACATTTCTCCCTACTGGGGACCACATTTAGAATCATTTCCTTGCTGAGCTTAAACCCAAAAGGCACACAATGTGCAGTGCTGCATTCTAGCAGCAAGGCAGCGGGGGGAGCTAAAGTAATATACCAGGGGATACTTGCAGGTTGTAATAACAGCCTCCGGTGCCCTGTACAATAAGTATGGATAGTTTTGCAAAGCAACATTATTTAGTAGAGAAACAGACAAACTAGTTATATTTTTTTGGTATTTTATAAAGGTGTATTCTTCAAAATTCCAGCAAATATTTCATGAATATCCAAAGGCACAGCTGACCTTTTTTTTTTTTAACATTTATTTTGGTCCCCTCTCTATTGTACATACTAAAATCTCTATTTTACCATTTACACTAATTTTCTTATTTTAACTGAAGATCTGAAGAATTCACAAGCAAAGAATACTGTGAATACTGCGAGTACTTTATTGCTGACCAGTGTCCATATGGTGAATAAAAAAAAAAAAAAAATGTAAATGGTGTAAAATTAAATCACATATTTCTAATCACACATTTAACTTTTTTGTATTTTTTTTATAAAAAGGAACTTAGTAGTGATGTGCTAATCTTGTCATTCCAAAATAGTTTATACCTCGAATTCCCATCATCTGAATTATTTGGCGAACATAACTTTTTACTCATCTCCTATTTTTAACATCTGTTTAAATTCGCTAATATTTTTTCCTCATTTGTGTTGGCACATTTTCTCAGGAGCAGCATAATGCAAATGTATTTATTTATTTATCAAATATTTTACCAGGAAGGATATATTGAGATTTCTCTTGTTTTCATGTATGTCCTGGGTCCACAAAACATTGCATTGATACAATAGGGTACAATAAAATACAAAAACAATATTAATATGCTACGGAATCTGTTGGCGCTATATAAATGGCAATAATAACAATAACAATACACAATATATACAAAATTTAACATAGAACAGGTAGGAAATATATAATCAACCATGACACGTGCATTCTGTTTAGAGATATGTAGAAATTTATTCTCTTAATTAAATAGATTAATTATGTCACTGGAGTGGGAAGACCCTCAGTACCGTTTATAAATAATGCCAGAAAAAAACTATCACTAATATTTTCTTTCAAAATAATTTATCAATTGCTCTGATAATAAATATATTCCTATGTTATATAAACAATTTAAGTACTTATGAGACAAATCCATTGGCGTTACAGAAATTTTCAAATATTTTATTGGGATAAGAATACTGTGGTCAGGTAAACTATTATTTATAAAACAAAACTATAAATCTGTGTTAGTCTATCTGGCCTCAATTCAACAATGTTTCCATTAGTTAAAGTGTAACTGAGAGTTTCGCACAGCCTGAGTTTTTGTTTTATAATGTACAAAGTATGCCTGACTATTCTGGCACAGCCAAGGCAAACCGTGTAAAGAAATTAAACCCTTGCACTACTGTAAAAACAGGAGTGTGAATGCACACAACTTTACGTAATGAATGACTGGGCATGCATGTTCTTATACAGCATGTGACAGACCTCTCTGTCCCTGGATTTTATATTTTTAATTATGAGTTTGTTGGTTTGCTCAGTGATTTTAACTTCCCCTATGTACAATATGTACAGTATGATTTCGCTCGAATAACCGAACGAATTACCGAACGACAAACACCTCAACATGGGATAGCTCTTTGGAGCATTATAATCACTAGCTCTTCTAAGAGCTGTTCCTGCTCTGCTCTACAGCCTCTCTCTCACTACAGGGGAGAAAGGACATCTCTCGTGGAGGCGAAAACCCCTCACACTTTTGGGGTGACCACTACACAGCATTTCTCTGTAAATCCCAAGTTCTTATCGAGGATGGTCGATAAAGTCACCCTGAAGGAGGAGGTGCTGAGGAGTTAAGTGCATTTTTTTCTTTTTCCACCGTACTTCTTTTAGCACGTGCTTCTCATGTGTTTCATGGGACAAGTGAGTGAGGAATGAGGAAACCCTATTGGTTTAGTAATATTTTCCTATAAAGATATGTAATGTCTTACTTTGGTAGGAGTAAATGCTATATAATTCAATTCTGAGAAAATCCGTACAGTAACTGTCATTACCTGGATCCAGCAGAGAAGGGCAGGAAGGCATGCGAGTGTCTGGTCGATGTATTTTCAGGGGAGAATCGCAAGGGGTTAAAAACCTGAAAATAAGCACATGAAATATTATAATAATTTAAATTGTGCAATTTATGCTGGGCTTTATTTGGATTTAGGAATTCAGAAGATACTATGATTCATAGTATATTTTCACTTTGTAGCTAAAATTGTATTTTGATTTTATGTTTGAAATTGTTGCTTATCGCTTAAATTGTCTCAAATTTTCAAATGATTTTACCAGGAATATATGTTATATACTCCACTTACCATTTTTAAATAGTCATCAATCATAACACAGCATGCTGTACAATATACAGATCAGCCACAACATGAAAACCACCAATCTAATATTGTGCAAGTCCTCCTGGTGCTCCCAAAACAGGATGAATCATTTTTTTGTGCCAGCACATCCCATGGATGCTCAATTGGATTAAGATCTGATAAATTTGGAGGCCATAACAATGACTTGAACTCTTGATCATGTTCCTCAAACCATTCCTGAAGAATGTTTGCAGTGTGGCTGGATGCATTATGCTGCTGAAGAAGGCCACTGCCATAAGGGAAAACCATAACTATCAAGGGGTGTACATGATCTTCAATAATATATAGGTAGTTGATACATGTCAAAGTTACTTCGACCCAAGGCATTCTAGTAGAACATTGCCCAGAGCATAACACTGTCTCTGTTAGCCTACCTTCTTCCCTATCTTGCTACCATCTCTTCTCCAGGTAAATGATGCACATGCACCCAGCCATTCACCTGTTCTGAACAAATATGATTCTTCAGACCAGGCAACCTTCTTTCATTGCTCCATGATCCAGCTCTGATGCTCTCATCACCATTGAAGGTACTTTCAGTGATGTACAGGGGTCATTATAGGCACTCTAACCAGTCTGCAGCTAGACCCCCCCATACGCAGCAAACTGTGATACACTGTGTTTTCTGCCACCTTTCTATAATCACAGAATTAAGGTTTTCTGCAATTTGAGCTACAGTAGTTCTTCTGTGTGATTGGACCAGACATGCTAACCTTCGCACCCCTCATGAATCAATGAGCCTTGTTCACCCGTTGTCCTTCCTTATAATACTTTTGGTAGTTACTAACCACTGCACGCCGGGTACACCCCACACGACTTGCTGTTTTGGAGACACTCTGACCCAGCTGACCCTTTTCAAAGTCAATCTTTTCGTTTGCACATTTTTCCTGCTTCCAGCACATTTAAAAACTGACTGTTCACTTGCTGCCATATCCAACCCTGTGAAAGCTGACAATGTAACAATATTATCAATGTTGTTCACTTCATGTGTCAGTGGTTTTAAGGTTGTGGCTAATCTGTGTATTTATTGTCAAATTAAACATGAAATTTGAATAACTCTTTAATTACCTCTGGTTCTTCCCAAATGCTGGAACATCTATTTAGGCTATATATACTCAGAACTATATTAGCACCTGTCAAAGAGGAAAACACTATTGAGTGTGCAAAGAATTCTATACAGAAAGAGACCCACAGTTTGGCTTAAATATACTATTTAAAGCCATTTATTACTGCAAAAGATATGAAAGCCTATGGAGGACTGAGACCACCACATTTACACACCTTTATCTCTGGATGGCAGAATAGTAGCGCTAATAGCAACAGATAAGCAGTATAAAAATATAAAATATAGACAGCAGTTAAGCTTTATTATAAAGAATAAACTTCCTGTTTCACATACTCTTGTGGTCAGTGGTATATTTTGGTTTTGTGGTGCCGTGCGCATGACTAAGCTCGGGCACCCACCTGATGTTAATTTACCCCACCCCTTCCTATCAAGGCCAAACCTCTTCCTTTGTAAACTCCACCCTTTTCTCTTTAGATTCCACCTTTTCCTTTTAGAACTCCACCTCTTCTTTTCTGTGTATTAAAATTGGATAACCAGTGCCTATATTTTGTTGTTTTGTGTACCATTTCTAATGTTGTATCTATTATTTTTAAAAAGCCATCTTTAAAGAAAATAATGAAAAGTGTAAATTCAACCTTTTTTTTCAAAGTCCAGTCATCCATGCCAAATGTACTATATGGATCACAAACAATCAAATTGGTTGAATACGCCACACCAAAGTTTCAACCACCGTTACTGGACATTCATACATCATTAGTGCCATTTATACAAGACAGTAGCACTGTACATGCCAAGTACGCATCCAGGGTTTTATACTACCTTAGCCTTAACACACACAATCACACACACACCATTCACTCCAGACTAACCTCAATCTATATATCATGAAACTGACATGATGAGGTTGGCTTATTATTTTATGAACACATAGCAGTCTTATTAATTCAGATCAGGCATTTTTTAAAAACAGTGGCCTGGTGAGAGGGGCGCAGGCCAGTTATGCTTTGTCATCACCAATGACAAGCACACCCCCTCTCAAAGTGAACATGTTGGCCCAATGCTCTTCCAGGGCAGACCATGCACAGAGTACAAAAAAATGTGGAAACGTCTATAGTAGGTGAATACTACACCCTGTTCCAAATTATTATGCTATTTAAGTGTCACAAAGATTAAATATTTTGTTTTTCAGTTTAACTCATGGATGGCATTGTGTCTCAGGGCTCTTTTGATCACTAAAAACAATCTCGGACACCTGTGATAATTAGATTGCCAGATGAGCCCAATTTAAGGAAAAACTACTAAAGGAGGGTGTTCCACATTATTAAGCAGAGCACCATTTTCATGCAATATGGAGAAGAAAAAGGATCTCTCTGCTGCCGAAAAGAGTGAAATAGTTCAATACCTTGGACGAGGTATGAAAACATTAGATATTTCACGAAAACTTAAGCGTGATCATCACACTATTAAGCGATTTGTGGCTGATTCAGAGCACAGACGGGTTTGTGCAAATAAAGGCACATTGAGGAAGATTTCTGACAGATCCATGCATTGGATCAAGAGAGCAGCTGCCAAAATACCATTACATAGCAGCAAACAGATATTTGAAGCTGATGGTGCCTCTGGAGTCCCACGGACATCAAGGTGTAGAGTCCTCCAGAGTCTTGCAACTATGCATAAACCTTCTATTCGGCCACCACTAACCAATGCTCACAAGCAGAAACGGCTGCATTGGGCAGAAAAATACATGAAGACTAATTTTGAAACAGTCCTGTTCACTGATGAGTGCTGTGCAACCCTGCATGGTCCAGATGGATGGTTGGTGGATGGCAACCCTGTACCAACAAGTCTGCGACATCAGCAAGAAGGTGGTGGAGTCATGTTTTGGGCCGGAATCATGGGAAGAGAGCTGGTCGGCCCCTTTAGAGTCTTCGAAGGGGTAAAGATGACCTCTGCAAAGTATGTGGAGTTTCTTACTGACCACTTTCTTCCCTGTTACAGTAGGAAGAACCATGCTTTCCATAATAAAATCATCTTCATGCATGACAATGCACCATCTCATGCTGCAAAGAATACCTCTGCATCAATGGCTGTTATGGGGATAAAAGGAGAGAAAGTCATGGTGTGGCCTCCATCCTCCCCTGACCTCAATCCTATTGAGAACCTTTAGAGCATCCTCAAGCAAAAGATCTATGAGGGTGGGAGGCAGTTTACATCCAAACAGCAGCTCTGGGAGCCTATTCTGACATCTTGCAAACAAATTCAAGCAGAAACTGTCCAAAAACTCACAAGTTCAATGGATGCAAGACTTGTGAAGCTGCTATCAAATAAGGGGTCCTATGTTAAAATGTAACGTGACCTGTTAAAATGTTTAAAAAGTTAAAATGTTGTTATAAGTTTGATTGAAATAGCTTTTGATTTCAGTAAATATGCTGCAAACACAACAAATGACAATTTTCAGTTCTTTACAACCTATAAAGTGTTTTGAAACTTACTGTGCGTAACAATTTGGAACAGTGCATTGTAAGTTTTTTATGTTTAAAAGAAATACTGTTATCATCAGGAGGTTTGTTCAATAAAATTTGAATTGTACTCTTAATAGTTGATAACATGAGAATTATACTGACTGTTATTTACATCAATTATTTAGGTAAATGAGAAAAATATCATTTGCATAATAATTTGGAACAGGATGTAATGGTAGTCACCGCATTTAACACTGTATTGTTTTATCATTAGAATTTGTTTTGCTGTAGACTACATGTAATAATAGCGTAGATGCATGTACGCTTACCTTTTGGAAGAGTCCTTCCATCACAGAATGTGATTGGCTGACTAAGCTCCCTGGCAACCTCTGGGACTGGTGGATAGAGCCGCAAAGACTCCTTGATGCACAAAGCGGTGTAGGTCATTTTACCTAAATCATCCCTTGTCACATTCAGATAACAAAAAAGTCACAAAAAGCAATAACTGAAGAGATAAAGTATTAAAGTAATATTAAGAAGATAAATGTCATTTGCCATAGTCATCCACTGAAGAGGTGTTCAGGTTTAGATCTAATATACGTGTTTTTATCTGCCTCAATTATTTATTGTGATATGTAAAAATGAAACTCTCGAATTCCAAAATTGTTAAACATGTAGCTCTGTACTATAGAAACCATGAAAAATGTTTGTGTTCAACTTCTCACCATTCCACCGTGTTCCTTTCACCCATGATCTCCCTGATCTCCTCTTGACATTTCTGTTGGTGCTTGGGGTACTTGGCCATACAGTATAACATCCAGGAGATCCCACTGGCTGTGGTATCATGTCCCTCAAACATGAAGGTGTCTACCTCGGCACGCATGTCCTCATCAGACAAACCCTGGTTTTTTTCATCCTATTAAAGCAAAAATATTTCTTCAGGCTTTTTGTAAAATGTGTATTGTTCTGTATTTTAGCACAAAATGAAATTTTAGGTGGATGACTGGACAGTTACCATATTTTTCTGCTTACACAGTTATGCCTGCAGGCTATTTTATGGTGGATATAGGAGTAGGCAATGGAAAAAGAAGAGACTTAATAAGTTGGACAGGGCATAGAATCTGGGAGGAAATTGATGGTATTTGACACAATTCTAACAGCTAATGCCACATTGAATCAAGAGCCTAGAAACACAAAAACAACCAACAAAAAAAAAACAAGACACACATCTATCTTTAGTGAAAGAGGTCCGTGGCTGGTACATTCATTACCTTTGCACACAGAAGAATATCCAAGAAGTCTAAATGTCTCTTCTGTTTAATCTTTTCAAGCTCTTTATCCTGTTTGAGTGATTCCATTCTCTCTTTAATGACCTTAGCTGATCAGAAATAGAGAAATGCCTCGCAAATCATTGTTGTAATACATTCTATTAGTTTATATGGTAATTCATATTTAGCATGTTTACCTACCTTATCTATCTATCTATCTATCTATCTATCTATCTATCTATCCACCATCCCTCTATCTATCTATCTATCTATCTATCCACCATCCCTCTATCTATCTATCTATCTATCCACCATCCCTCTATCTATCTATCTATCTATCTATCTATCCACCATCCCTCTATCTATCTATCTATCTATCTATCCACCATCCCTCTATCTATCTATCTATCTATCTATGTGTCTGTCTGTCCACAGGATAAATACCGGTGTGTTGATGAACTGTCTTTAGTGCTCGACGAAAGCGGAATCCATGAGGGCTCAGGTAGAAAATAAGATCATTGTGATACGGAATGCAGGAAAAGCGGTAATCCACGATGTAACTGATATCGTATACTGCTTTAATATAGGCATTGTCACTGCAGGAAGAGAGCGGGAGAAGCAAGCCTTATAACGTCATTATAGTAAGAGCAGCACAAGTGGATGAATTATAAGGTTTGCACGTCGCTGTACAACAAGTGCAGCTATGTGTAATATTAGCTGAGTAGCATAGGAAATATAACCCACAAATGCAATGCCAAAGTTATCCCTCTGTGGTTTAGTGGAAACATAGCATCAGCTAAGACATTGCTTAAGTTGCAGATTAAAATTTACCTATGGCATTTATTTTTAATTATGTTACAATATTATAGGAATTGTCTCCTATAATCAAACGTTTTTAATATCCTGCCATTTTGGGGGGTTGGGGACCTATTAATTACTAATTTTATTTTATGTAATTTTATCCTTTCATGACTTGTAGCAGTGCTCCTCAACCTTCTCCTCAAAGCACACCCAACAGTCCAGTATTTAGGGATTACCCAGGTGTGTCTAAGGTGTTTAAAAAACAAAAACAAAAAAAAAACACATCTTAAGGTGTTTTTTTCTAAACACCTTAGACACACCTAAGTAATTCCTAAATTCTGGACTGTTAGGTGTGCCTTGAGAAGAGGGTTGAGGAACACTGACTTGTAGGACAGTCATGATGTAAACATATTTGCCAAACCCTTAGTCAAGAATGGGTTAACTGTATCCTACATCTCTACACCTAAGAAAAACAAGTTACCTGCTCTCTCCTTAATCCCTATGTATTTTTAAACAAATTGAGGGTTTTTAGTGTACTGTAGTCTTTGCTGCCGCCCAGTAATGATGGTAGTGAGCGTAGGACTTATCTTTCTGCATTTACATCTCTACACCTACCAGATTACAAATGTGTCAAATATTATTGGATTGAACAGATAAGTAATGACTCAAAAATCCTAAAACACTGGACTAATCTTTAAAATTCAAGATGTCTCCATGACCGGCCAATGTATTCCAACCAGTGATGGATTGGTGACCACATACTGGCCTTCTGTACATCTGTCTGGGTGGTTTAATAGACAGTCATTCTTCTAATACCTTGCTAATTTCATGTTGTTTTTTTTTTTTAATGTGTATGGAAGTTCCCATTAATTTATCCTGTGATTGCTACATTTTTGTAAATAATAAGCTGTTTGAAGATGGTTATGTATTGGTGACTGATTCCAGTGTTAACACTTTAATAATATTGGAATACAGATTTCTCTGTGAGAGGGAGAGCACAATACATGCTATTCTAACAAGTAGATATCCTAGTTTTTAAACCTGTTATTCTGGCAGTCGCTATGGTAACTGAAGGCGCATTTCATGATGGTGTCCAGCGTCATAAGGCTGACATGGTGAAATAGCTCCACTGGCTTGTTGTCATAAACAAGTTTCTCCCATTTATCCTAAAATAACAAGAAAACATACTACAATATACTCTATATCAATCCACAAAATGGATCTAGTAACATTGTATGCTATCACAGCCACATCCTGTGAATAATGTCATCATTGCTGTCCAAGACTAATGAAAGTTAGAGCAGCAACAACAATAAGGTGACTATTGGCAGTTGCCTAGGGCCCAAGGGGATCAAAGCCATAAATTAGCTTGGTCCTAATTTCCCTTTAGACTTGTGCATGGCAACAAAAATTGGTTCAGCCCAAAGTAAAACTTGATTCGGGCAATCCGAACTTCATCCATGCATCATTGTGGTTTGACCAAATAGCTAAGTTAATGAAAAGAGATTCAAAGCCTCCCATGTCCCTTCCCATGTGCATCGAGTGGGGGCTTGAAATTAAATAATGAGGGATGAACAGGTCATTGTCCACCCCCATGCCCTCACCCCTGACCAGCAGATTGGAGGGCTATTTTTAAGGGAAAAAATGGGAGCTGACAAAGGGGTCAATATTTCAAGTCCTTTTGTAGTAGACAGAGAGGTTGACCTGGGCGTCTGCAGAGAAATTATTTTTCAGTGCTGGGTGTACATCAGTGATGAAGCAGAGATGAAGATGAGTATGGCTTTATGGGCTTTCTTGAAAAGATTGCAGTACAAAACAAAACCCATGAGTACATACCAGCATGACATTGGTACAATCCGACATCAGCTTCACGTATGGTTTCAAAACATCATAGTGAAAGCCAGGAGTGATCAGCCGACGGTGGTGGAACCACTTCTGTCCTGACAAGACCAATAGACCCTTTCCTAAAATCAAAATTATTTAGAGCTCCCCCCAAAAAACAATAAATCTCTTAAACAATTTGGGAAAAATTTACTAAGAAATTACATGTTTTATGTCAAAATAGCAGAACTGGAAAAAGACTAATAAATCAGAGACAGAGAGATGCTTTTGATGAATTTGTCATGTAATCAGAATTTCTCATCACACTGATTATTTAAGCCAACTTTTCTTTATCAAGGATTTAGATTATGTACATATTCTTGGCGACCCATTCTTTAGATGGAACATTTGCAAGTACAATTTAACATTAAAAAAATTGCATAGTACATTAATTGTCATCTTCTCAGGTGGGTCTCAGATGAGGAAGACAGTGCTGCTACAGTAATAATAGTAATAAGATGCCATGGAAATAACATATATGAAATGCTTGTTCCAACTAATTAGGACATGCTAACATGACATGACTATTTTTGGTTCCAACCACATTGTCAAAAACTACTGTTTTAAATTGTTCTGTTGTACAGAGGAGATGGATGGTAGATAAGATGAGGGGAGAGAGAACGAGAGAGAGATTGATTCAGAGAAATCAGGATATAGAGGAAGGAAATGAGAAAGAGTAACTTATAATTGTTGTGGAGTACTTGCCGCTCCAAAGATATAAGGTATTACGTACCAATCCATGGAGTAATAAAGTAGTAGGCAAAATTATCCTTTGGGTCTGCAAAGCAATAATAATTTACATGTAGAGCTTGTTATACACAATGAGCATCATAGAGAACTATACAGACATATTACCGTATGAAAGGAACATTGCTAGGTTCCATCATAGAGCACTATACAAATACCTACAAAAGGAGCATTGCTAGGTTCCAAAACCATTAAGGATTTTAGCTCAAAGGAAAACAAGATGCCCCCTCTGCATGATCTCTAAACTCCTGTATCCATCACCCAAAATCCTGCATATCTTCCTCCATCCTCAGCAAGCAGGCTTCTCATTATTGCCCAAAACCATTGTATCACTGACCCATTTGACTTCAAGACCAGAATTAATTACTCAAAAAGTTCACCATCGAACATAAACATCTTGGCAAAGAGCCTTAGGAACTACCATAATATGGGACTCCTAATCTTAACGAAGCAGTTTTGATGTATAGATCGTGCCCTGTCTCATTGTTTAATTTGCTGCTATTTAACTTTAGATGAAGACTGTAGGGACATGACCTATACACCAAAAATATCTTTATTAGGCTTGTTTTAGTGCTTTGAGTGTCCTTTTAAATCCAATGGGTTTCATGTCTCAGTGGCACCATTACTCTTACATAACAATATGACTATATGACAATATATTTGAACCGAAAGACACAAGGTGTCTAAAGTGTGTGTAGCAGACACAGATACAGAACATGTATTGCCTAGATGGTGTATTGTATACGGACATACCTATCAAGTTTAATAGAACAACAAGTAGCAGAATGCATGTCCTTTTCCTTACCCTGTCTTGACAGAATGGCCTTTGCATAGTCAGGATGGCAGATTATGAGTACAGGATAGAAGCTTCCCATCCACAACGGGTAGGCATAAGGGTATTTTTCAGCATAACCATGCATGATGTCCAAGTCTTTCCCATCTCCTTTAAACTGTGGGCACAAAATATACTTTTGCCTTTTCAAAATAATGATGAAAACTTTTTGATTGAAATAGGGCAATCACAGAAAAAAAAGAGGTTCATGGTCCATGACTGGGGTCCAATTATAAGATCTAAGCATCTACACAAATTAATTTAATTAATAAAAAGCATCTACTTGCCTTCATGCCTCTCTCATGCGCTATGTGGTAGAGAAGAGTATTTCTAGCAACATCACAAACCTCATACTGGCCCCCTGTGGTCTTGCACTTTGCGCAAGTACATTAGGAAGATGCTGGGGATGATACAATGCATTGATAGCTTAAGGATGATATAGTACCATTGTGGTCTGGCACTGTGTGCAGGTACATTAGGAATTTGTTGGGGAATTATATCATACATTGCTGGCGTAATATAGTATAGTAGATATTTCGAGCCATAGATTCCTTCAACACAGACAGAAGATGTTTCTACAATGTAAAAATGTCACATTTTTGATGGGACACAAAAGTTTTAATGTGGCCAGAAATTGCCCTGATTTATTCTTAGTTTCTTGAATTCTTTCAAATTTTTGTCACATTTTCCAATATTTACTGTTTATTGTACATGCTGTAAATGAACCAGAGGGACCATTCCAACATGTCCAAAGTATTTTTGTCCCAAAGACCTTTGGGGAAGAGGTTATTTTTGGACTATTATCTGTAGTCTGTGATACCAGAGACCAAAACATTAGACTTCAAATACTATGTTTATATGTCAATATGGTAATTGGGATGAAGAAGTTGAATTGCTCATGTCCTTTCCCTATGACAGGCTGGCAAAAATAGTGTTCTGTAATTGTTTCCATTTGTAATTGTACATATATATATATTGTGCTGGATATGGCCGAGCAGCACCCTGTAAATATATTAGGGAGTCCAGGCCAACTCCCCAGATTTGCACCCTCCATGTCTCAAGTGCCTCATTCCAGGGCCTTATTTAACCTTGTACTGCATTAAGCCCCAGGAGTGGATTAATCTCATAAGAGGCATTAGATTGTTAGAACAGCCATTTCTTGAATGCTAAACTACATATTCCTGCAAGTATCCCAATGCGCCACTCTAGGATGAAGAGCTTTAAGATCATAGGCCAACAGCCCATGTGCAAATCTACCATGTAAAGGCTTGGGAAGGGCTTGAAAAATTCCTGCCAGCTGCCTCAGTCCTCCAATGTAAAACCAATAGATTAAATATCTGCATGCAACTTACCTCGTGGACATTCCCAAACAGCCAATGGGTCTTAGGACCCTGGAAATCTTTAAATGTTGTCAGCAGTTCCCTCCTTGTCAGGTACAGTTTGCATGCTTTGAATATTGCAAGCAGGGCAAAAAGCCAGGCCGCCCATTGGCAGAGCTGAGTTACGTTCAGGGACAGCAGATCAATCAGCAGTGAGGATGCCATGGTAACAGAACACAGAGACTGCGCAGCCACTCAACTGGCTATTGTGAGTTCTCCTGTCCCAACTTACAATCAGACTACTGTAATAAATGTATCTGTGTGACTATCATGAGAAAACACCTGCCAGTATGAGAATCAATAGGGCAATGTCTACGGGAAGAGATCAGAGCTGCCCAGAGGGAGGAGGAAAGTCACAGGAGCGATAGGGAGATAGTAAATAGGCTGCGTACAAAAGGTAGTCCGAATTCTCCTGTCATGCTCAGTGCTTATAAAAAGTACTAGAAAACCTTAACTTTTTTTTAAATGTGTTAACATTTTAGACCAAAGCAGTCAAGCTGGGGAAATAGTAAGTTTACATAATTCCTATCTTATTGATGTACCCAAAGAAACTTTTTTAGCACATTGTATTCAGCTTTGCGTGGGAAGACAAGTTCACTGACATTTACTTACATACACTGCTCAAAAAAATAAAGGGAACACAAAAATAAGACATGCTAAATCTGAATGAATTAAATATTCTTCTGAAAAACTTTGTTCTTTACATAGTTGAATGTGCTGACAACAAAATCACACAAATATTAAAAAATGGAAATCAAATTTTTCAACCCATTGAGGTCTGGATTTGGAATCACACTCAAAATTAAAGTGGAAAAACACACTACAGGCTGATCCAGCTTTGATGTAATGTCCTTAACCCCTTAAGGACCAAACTTCTGGAATAAAAGGGAATCATGACATGTCACACATGTCATGTGTCCTTAAGGGGTTAAAATAAGTCAAAATGAGGCTCAGTAGTGTGTGTGGCCTCCACATGCCTGTATGACCTCCCTACAATGCCTGTGCATGCTCCTGATGAGGTGGCGGATGGTTTCCTGAGGGATCTCCTCCCAGACCTGGACTAAAGCATCTGCCAACTCCTTGACAGTCTATGGTGCAATGTGACGTTGGTGGATGGAGTGAGACATGATGTCCCAGATGTGCTCAATTGGATTCAGGTCTGGGGAAAGGGCGGGCCAGTCCATAGCATCAATGCCTTTGTCTTGCAGGAACTGCTGACACACTCCAGCCACATGAAGTCTAGCATTGTCTTGCATTAGGAGGAACCGAGGGCCAACGGCACCAGCATATGGTCTCACAAGGGGTCTGAGGATCTCATCACGGTACCTAATGGCAGTCAGGCTACCTCTGGCGAGCACATGGAGGGCCCTCATACCACCCTCATGGAGTCTGTTTCTGACCATTTGAGCAGACACATGCACATTTGTGGCCTGATGGAGGTCATTTTGCAGAGCTCTGGCATTGCTCCTCCTGTTCCTCCTTGCACAAAGGCGGAGGTAGCGGTCCTGCTGCTGGGTTGTTGCTCTCCTCAACGTCTCCTGATGTACTGGCCTGTCTCCTGGTAGCGCCTCCATGCTCTGGACACTACACTGACAGACACAGCAAACCTTCTTGCCACAGCTCGCATTGATGTGCCATCCTGGATGAGCTGCACTACCTGAGCCACTTGTGTGGGTTGTAGACTCCGTCTCATGCTACCACTAGAGTGAAAGCACCGCCAGCATTCAAAAGTGACCAAAACATCATCCAGGAAGCATAGGGACTGAGAAGTGGTCTGTGGTCACCACCTGCAGAACCACTCTTGCTAATTGCCTATAATTTCCACCTGTTGTCTATCCCATTTGCACAACAGCATGTGAAATTGATTGTAACTCAGTGTTGCTTCCTAAGTGGACATTTTGATTTCACAGAAGTGTGATTGACTTGGAGTTACCTTGTGTTGTTTAAGTGTTCCCTTTATTTTTTTGAGCAGTGTATATTGCTTCCATAGGATACATCGTTATGAAATGCAGTGTCAGATTTTATCAGTAATAATTCCATATTAGATATGTCAGATTTTCACCCAACTCCATCATTCAATTTCCACTGATGTCATTTAATTGTAATCTCATATGCGTTTAATCCCATTAATTTACATCCCATTACTATTAGACTGCACGCTCGTTTGAGAAGAATACTGACCATCTCCTGTTCTGGAAGTCCAATTTAATCTTGTTGCTACTATTTGTCTGCACAATATGTTGTAGCTTTAAAAGTAATGTTTTCTGAAAGGATATCCAGAAATGTACAAGCCACAAAGTATCAATAGAGATGTCCCGAACAGTTCGCCGGCGAATAGTTCCTGGCGAACATCGATTGTTCGCGTTCGCCACGGCGGGCGAACATATGCGATGTTTGGTCCGCCCCCTATTCCATATCATTGAGTAAACTTTGACAACCCCCCAAACCCCTAGTCACCCCCCCCCAAAAAAAAAAATAACCCCCTTCCTACCTCCCTCACCCTAAAAATAATGAGGGGGGGACCTTTAACTAAGTACCTGTAAAAAATAAAATAAAACTTACCATTCAATGTTTTCTTTCTTCGAAATCTTCTTTTTTCAGCCCCAAAAAAGGCCAAATAAAAAACCATAATAACCAACGCAATAAAAAAAAAGCAAAAAAAAATAATCCATGTTCACCCGGCGAGGGCTCCGCGCAGACTGAGCTCTGCAGGGCGGGGGAAGGCTTATAAAGCCTTGCCCCGCCCTGCAATTAGGCTAAGAACACTCTGATTGGTGGGTTTAAGCCATCCAATCAGAGTGCTCTGACAGGTAAATGAAGAGACTGACAGGTAAGTCTCTACATTCACCTGTCACAGCACTCTGATTGGTTGACTTGAAATCAACCAATCAGAGAGTTATGAGTCAAATTACACAGCGTGGGAAAATTCCAAAGAACTTTCCCACGCTGTGTAAAATGACACAGAGCACTCTGATTGGTGGATTTCAAACCAACCAATCAGAGTGCTGTGACAGGTAAATGTAGTGACTTACCTGTCAGTCTCTTCATTTACCTGTCAGAGCACTCTGATTGGATGGCTTAAACCCACCAATCAGAGTGCTCTGAGCCTAATTGCAGGGCGGGGCAAGGCTTTATAAGCCTTCCCCCGCCCTGCAGAGCTCAGTCTGCGCGGAGCCCTCGCCGGGTGAACATGGATTATTTTTTTTATTTTTTTATAATTGTGTCGGTTATTATGGATTTTTATTTGGCCTTTTTTGGGGCTGAAAAAAGAAGATTTAGAAGAAAGAAAACATTTTTTACAGGTACTTAGTTAAAGGTCCCCCCCTCATTATTTTTAGGGTGAGGGGGGTAGGTAGGGGGTTAATTTTTTTTGGGGGGCGAGGGGGTGACTAGGGGTTTGGGGACCCCTCGTCACCTGGGGGGGACATTTTTTTTAGGGCCCCCACCCGCCACTCAGGGGTGGTGGCCGGGGGGGAGGACATTAGGTCCCCCCCCTTTTTAGTATTTAGGGCCCCCACCCGCCGCTCAGGGGTGGGGGCCAGGGGGGAGGACCTTAGGTCCCCCCCCTTTTTAGTATTTAGGGCCCCCACCCGCCGCTCAGGCGTGGGGGCCGGGGGGAGGACATTAGGTCCCCCCCCTTTTTAGTATTTAGGGCCCCCACCCGCCGCTCAGGGGTGGGGGCCAGGGGGAAGGACCTTAGGTCCCCCCCATTGTGATTTATTTGCCCCCACCCACCGCGCAGGGGTGGGGGCCGGGGGTGAGGACAGTAAGTCCCCCTCCCCTCATTTTTATGGCCCCCACCCACCGCGCAGAGGTGGGGGTGGGGGCGGGGGGGGAGGACAGTAGGTCCCTCCCCCTCATTATCTTTATGGCCCCCACCCGCCGCCCAGGGGTGGGGGCCGGGGGGGAGGACAGTAGGTCCTCCCCCCCATTGTAATTTATGACCCCCACCCGTAGCACAGGTTTTTTTTTGTTTGTTTGTTTTTTTACAGTGAGCAGCCACTGGCTGCTCACAGGCTTACTAGACATGCCCCTACTCGCTGCATAGCGAGTAGGGGCAGAATTTACTAATACTAATCTTTACTTAGTATTAGTAAATGTGGCTGAAAGACCAATTTAGGTCTTTCAGCCTTTTAGTAGATAACTCCCTAATTCCCACGGTATTAGGGAGTTATCTACTAAGCGGCTGCAAGATGCAGCCGCGGATCGGAGTTTGCATGCCACAGTCCAGCTGTTAGTCCCCTTGAAACAACTTGTGGGTTTTAAAATTCGCCTGCCTATTGAAGTCTATGGCGGTTCGCGAACATTTGCCGAAATTCGCGTTCGCGAACCGAAAATTTCATGTTCGCGACATCACTAAGTATCAACAGGAATTTACACCATTTGTTTGCCAATAACAACTAAACAGATTTAGAATACATCATAGCAATAACATGCGTCTATTGAGCCACCACTAAAAGTGATCTGGCAAAGGTTCAACCACAATGTGAAGCGATATTTCAATAAAGTATTGTGAATAATCTTTATTATTGAGATATGTGATGGCTGCCCCAGCCAGTGCCCTGAATTTTCCTAGCTGCATTTGCTGGCAATTTATAGAGACAGGTCTGCATCATTTCCAGAGGTTTTATTACAGAAATTCCCAAAAATTATAAAAACAACATGATTGGCTCTTGTGGTGTGATTATGGTTGGCTATGAAATTGTGCTGCTGCAAAGTAAGATGTGTGAAGGTCTAGAACAGACCATGGCTATCAAGAAAATGTTGAATATCCTTCATTCGTGTTAGCATTCCACCAATGCTAACACGAATGATGGATATTCAACATTTTCTTTTCAGCCCCAGCATGGGAGTTCTACATATAGCTTTTCAGTAGAAATCATATATAATCACATTTCTGGAACTTGCTTTTATTTCACAGCTTGTCTATATAAAAAAAAAAAAAAAAAAAAAATTAAAAATATTGGGTATAGTTAACAGGCTATAGATCACTGTAGCTGAATAATACTCAGGTGATGCTCTCAGCCAATGAATTGCAATTTCCAAAGAAGCCATTGGCCAACACTGGCCACAGGATGACCCAGGTAAGCCATAGGACAACACTGTCCCATGGTGGACACAGGTTAGAAGGCAAACCATTGCAAAATAGTTTGACCTATTACCAGGAAATAAATTCAATTAAAATTAAAAAGATTTTAATAAAACATGTTTAAAAGGACCAAAAAAAATAAAAATAAATATCCTAAATGTTAAATTCACTTTTCTGACAATATATTATTTGTTGAATCATTCTGAAGGCGGCACACTGCATGGTCTCTCTCTATATTCTAGATCCAAGGAGCACAGATCTCAGCTTTGTTACATTGCCCAGTAATAAAGTAGCTACAATATAATTGTATTAAGATTAGTATATGTGATCACGAGAAATGCAATTTAAAAGCAGTAAAGCAGCTGTAACGGTTTAAGATGATGGACTAGACTCCTTCCGTGGAATTTGACTCCAAACTCCTCCTTTGTAAAACACCATCTCCTGACCTGTTGGACCCATTTGTCAAAATACTAAATATTTCTTTATTTCATTAGTTTAAAAAATAAATAAATTAAAAAAAATAATAGCAATTGAGACTAAACATTGTTTAGTCCAAAGTTTTTTGTATTCTTGACACAATACAAGACAGTATGCCTAAATAAGAAATTAAAAAATTGTCAGAAAAAAAACAAACAAAAACAAACAAACAAATCATTCAGCCTATATGATAAAGAAATGGAATGAAAAAAAAAAAAATGGGATAAATTCAAAAGGTATCTTCAGCAGGCGTACTGTGCTGGTATTGGGAGACATTTTCAGAAGACAAATCAGAGAAAGCGCATACTAATACTTTTACGTAACAATATAAATCTATGTACTTTGACCATTTACAATAATTCTATATCTGTATAGCTTCTCTTATAGTCTAGAGGAGAAACGTTTTGTTTACAGCCTGGCAGTTCAGGTTTAATAGTAATTTGTATTTCTTGAACTTTATTTTATTTGATAAATAAGAGATAACTAAATGCGAGATGCTACATGCAGTGACAATATCATTTTAATATATGGGTACAGTATTCATTAATGTTTAATAAAGGTAAATCACAAAAATAGTTTAAGATAATGTAGATATGACATTGCAAAATACATGTTAATTACAATTTACTGGTGTATGGCAAAATAAACAGTTTACGTTAGAATAATCAATGAGCAGAAGTAGAATAATGTTCATTTTCTGTTAAAGCACTTTAGCTTAAGTGCTTTATGTGCGAAGAGGGTATCCTCTTTTTTCACTTTGCAAAATGTGTTAATTAGAAATGTGCAGTTTCATAAACTAAGCTTGTTACACCCAAACAGACAAGTGGTCCTGTTACTTTCTGGTTTGTTTCGCTCAGTGGAGATAAACTCAAGAGGCAACAATTGCCCAGAGCACCTATTTCGCAAAGACTTCTCATTGAGCTGCATTGGGAAGTCTGTGATTGGACAGCCAGAGAAAGTCTGGGCGGGGTTAGAAGGGGAGGGATTGCAAAGGCTACAGACAAGAGACCAGCAGCTTTTGCAAGATGTTTTTAGCTGTAACCCCAGTGAAATAAATGTATAATTAAGAGCATACATGTTTTCATGGTAGAATATCTACCATATAGATTTTTTTTATTTTTTCATTTGTGCAGTGGAGTTTCTGTTTTAACTAACAAGTGTGCAAACTGGGCTATAACACAACTAAGCATTCTTCTTCCTAAGAATGTGTGGTAACGTCCTATGCAGATCTTGCTAAGGGTTCCATCTCAGTTCAGGATATTTGTTAATCATAGAGTCTTCTTAATTTCTGAGATGCAGAGCTGGCACTGTATTCACTCACACTGTATGGCACAGATGGGACGTACAGTGACTGGATTCAGGTATGAAAATAAAGTGTATTCTGTTTGGGTGGAAGCTCTGGTAGAATATGTTAAGATGGCAAGCGTGAGGCGTGATTTACAGGCTTTGATAGGACTGACTGCAGACTCAGCTTGCTTTCTTTAGGTACACGTGGATGCCATTCTTGGATCGCAGAATAATTTGTGGTAATTTCAAAGGGGTGTTAGCAAGATCCGGTAAAATCTCAAACCGGTTTAGTGTCAGAGCCACGGCCACTTTCATTTCGTTCATGGCAAAGGCTTGTCCAATGCAGTTTCTGAGACATGGCATAAAAAGAAGAGATTACAGGTATATTATTTCAAAATAAGTAGTGTTATTGTATATCTTACATTCTATAGTACGGTCTATGTGGTCAGAACAATCTTTAAATGCCTTACAGATATATTTAAAATGAACGAATAGGTTTTATGCAAAATTATTATAAATAATTCAAACAAATAACACAAGCCCCGCCCCAAAAACAAACAAACAAAAAAATAATAAATGTAGAAGTGTGTTGCACTTTGTAAAATTATTCACACCAAAATTGCCGCCCCTTGAAGAAAAGTTAGGAATGCGTTTATTTTTATTTTTTTAATACACGCACGGTACAGGCAGAAAACTAAGAATATCACCAAAAGGATCATGCTTCGTGTGCTCGAGATTGCATCATACATCCCTAACATCCCTAAACGCTCTATAAACTGTAAAAAAAATGTAATATTTTGCCTGTTGTGCTTTACCTTGGTCCTGCAGAAAATGGCACAAAAGCGTGAGGATGCCTATTGGAGGAATTTTCTAAGGAAAACCTTTGAGGATCAAATACCTTACAAGAACAACAAAAAAAACACAAACAGAAAAGTGAAAACGATGTAATAATTATATCGATAAGAGAATTCACAAATAGTTAAATAATAGTACCTCAGGGTCCTTCCACACATTGGGGTTCCGGTGAATGCAATAAATATTTACCAATACTACAGTGCCTGAAAAATATAAAATAGCACCAGGAGGAGAAAATGTCAATGTGTGCATAATAAATAGTTTCCAGATCGGTTTTACATGCGGTTTTAATAGGCAATGATAACATGGGGAGGCAGCCATTGTCACATAACTCCTTAATACTCATACAAACGTTTCTCTTTCTCTAGAAGAATGTACAGCAAACTCAGTTCAAAGCATTAACATCTTTAGAAATTATGGAAATACTGACTATGACCAATCTACCATTGACCTTGGGGTTCACCCCAATCTTTACGCACTGCGAGTCTGTAAGGAAATAAACATTAGATTAGAGGTGGCGACTAAGAAAAGGATATTTTACATCCTGTTGGAGATCAGTTTTGAGATTGAAAATATAGTATTAAAAACTTGTACTTGTCCATTATTAAAAAAAAAAGCAATAACATTTTCAATTGACCAACAAAGTAGAATATGGTATTGGTGGTGGCCAATATGGACAATAAGATTCCTAATGCAGTTGGGATGTGTAGGATGTAGTGCAGACAGTATGCACAGTGCAGCACTGCAGAGCTCAGTGTGTAAAAAAAAAAAAAAAAAAAAAAAAAATTACATAACTGATCTCCAACACCAAGTACAATGTCATATTTCTGTATTTTATGCAATTTGTACTTTTATTCTCATGGTGATGCTAATTAAAAGGTAACTCCAAACGCCACGAACATGTCATTAATTCAGCGGTCAGTACTTGCAGTCTGTATGTGCAGTAGTTCAGTTTAAAACGCTCAACATACAGAGTCAGAACTCTTTGCTGCCGGAGTTGTAACTCCACCTCTGGCAGTGTTATTAGCCAGCCTGGAATGCAGGGACGTTTCAGCCACGAGGCAAACAAGGCATTTGCCTTGGGCAGCATTTTCAAGGGGGCGGCAAAAAAAGCCACCTCCAAATGCCCAGGGCAAATGTCCTGTTAGCCTTGCTGCTAACTGACAATCCGGACGGACGCTGGTCGGTCAGGCGGCACTGGCGGGCGGCTGGCGAGGGAGCACTTTCTCTGAGCTGTCTGCTCTGCTCCCTCACGCGCCTCCCGCAGAGTGAGGCTGGGAGCCGGAATATGACGTTTTATTCCGGCTCCCAGCCTCACTCTGCGGGTGGCGCGCGAGGGAGTAGAGCAGACATCTCCGAGGAAGTGCTCCCTCGCCAGCCAGCTCAGTAGCCACTGGACCCCCAGGGAGAAAGAGACCCCGCCCCCAGCATTCCCAAAGGTAAGGTGGCTTGGTGGGGGTTAAATAAAAAAAAATAAAAAAGTTAATGTGAGTGTGTGCCTGTTAGGGTGTGTCTGTATTTAGAAGCGGGGGGGGGTTGGGTGGCAGTGGCGCGGGTGGGAGGTGCCTGAGTTTTGTCCTGCCGAGGGCAGCACAAAACCAGGATACACCACTGCATATAGATACAGATACACCTGCAGATACGCACAAACACAGACACATGCCTATATACAGACACAAAGATACATACCCTGACACATGCAGATACAGTGAAACACAGATACATACACTGACACACATACAGACAAAGATACCCACACTGACACACAGATACAGTAACACACATGCAGATACAACACCGACACTTATATAGGCACTGACACACATACAGATACATACCCTGACACACATGCAGATACAGATATGCTACATTCACTGACACACTTAAGGATACACACCCTGACACATTTCCATGGAAGTCTCAGTTTGACCAACCGCACACGAGGCTCCTGCCCAAAAGAATTCCACAAAAAAAAAATCAGACTGTGTGGTCGGTCTCTTTCAGGAATGACAAACATAACAAAAAGTACCAAACATAACCATTTTTGAATACAGTCAGTCTTTATATCTTGTTGGGGAGCTTGCTCCCACCGAATGCCATTCGGTTCTCATGTATTTTACCGAACTTCTGTGGAAGTTCTAGCATCGAGTGGCCGATTTTATTTCCGTGTACTCGACGACAAAACACCGCTGTATGTGTTCGCGGCTAAAGATGGCCGCCGTGTGTTTCACCACATGAACGGCGACAACCCAGCCGACCGCTCAGAATGTTATAATTGCGTTTACAGAGGTGCGAACAAAGGTGAAAGAGATTAATGAGCAGCACACGCCTGCCCTGGGTTGTGTGGCCATTCGGTAATTTGTTTGGTATATGAAATAGATAGTTCAGTATACAGACACCTGAGACCTATGGAGTATATCAAATAATTTTGTTACTTAACAGCCTCTCATTCAAAGATAGGGAATTCGTCACACTTGTAAACATGGCCATGATGACAAACTGGCTGTTAATATTTGCTGTTTATTTAAAGTCTCGTAACCTTTATACACTTAGAGTAGACTTCTCAACCTTTATTCTTACTGTCCCAATCACACTCATTACATACTGTGGGTAACTAATTAACTGCTCTCACAATAAACAGAATCATAGCATGCAACATGAGATAATATACTATTTAAAAAAGGGAGAATCATTACATGTCTAGGTCAAAATAAAAATAAAAAGTCTAAAAATAAATAATTACATTACGTTCAAACTTGAATCCCATTCTTTTATGCTGTTGATAACCCCCAAAAAAAAAAAGGCAAGAAACCCGCTATGTAACCATTTCTAATTATGCCACAAAAAAGGGAATACATCCTCATTGATTCTATAATGGCAATCAGAATTATCCTTGGATCAACAACCTGTTTACACACATCAGTTATATCCTTGACTATTCTGTTTTTGCAAAAAAGTAATTCAAGCCACGATAAATATATATATATATATATTTATTTTTATTACACACACACACACACACATATTTGTATAGTGCGATCATAGCCCCTCTGAAGCTTTTTGATTTTCTTTAGAAACCAAATTCAGTTTCTCTAGTCTTCTAGAGTCTCTTCATAACTAAGGTTTTCCATTCCCTTTACTAAATTTGTAGTCTGCCTTCGCACTTTTGTAGTTCTCCAATATTATTCTTTAGAATAGGTGCCCAGAATTGTTCCAGACCTTTAAGGTGGGGTCTTACCATTGATTTATAAAGAGGCAAATTTATATTTTGGTCACGTGAATCAATATTCTTTTCATACTCAAAAGCATCCTACTAGCTATTGCAACAGAAGACCAGCATTGCATACTGTTGTCTTGTTTGTGATCTATACTCCCCCCCCGCCCTCCCCCCCCTCCAAGTCCATTTAATTTAATGTATAAATGACATGTAGGTTCCATATTCCAATGTGCATGAGTTTACATTTATCTGCATCCAATCTCATCTAACACTTGCCTGCCCAGTCCCTCAATTTATCCAAATCTCTCTGTATTTATATCAAATTTAGACTATTTCCTTAACTAGTTTTGTGTCATCTGCAAACACCGATAATTGACTTTCAATACCCACTTCAAGATCATTTACAAATAGATTATGGAAAAGTGGATGCAGGACAGAACACTGAACATTTTCCGTTTACAACTACTCTTTACACTATCTTTCAGATGGTTTATAAAAAAAACAAACAAAAAAAAAACTAACTGATTTTAGTTTTAATAGTAACCTTTTGTGTGGAACAGTATCAAATGTATTGGTAAAATCCAGATATATTGCATCTACTGGACCACCCTGATTTATATATTTCTACTAAATGTCTTATAGATTGCAATTAAGTTAGTTTGGCATGACCGGTCTTTCATAAACCCAAGTTAATGCATGCTAATGCTATTATTGTTCAAAAATGAATATTATCACTTAATAGCTCTTCAAATCATTTTGCAAAAGCATATGTTATGCTCACAGAGCTGTAGTTTCTGCGTTGAGGTTTTTAACGCACTTTAAATATCCTGTAGTACAATTCCTGAAAGAAATTAAGGATGGTGCTATGGATATTTCTTTAGTAAGCTCCCTAAGCACTAGTGGTTGAATACCATCTGGCCATGGAGTTTTCTTTAAATTAACCATTTTATTTTTGTAACACCTTATCCTGTGTTAACCAATTGCCTATTTTCTATAAGGCTTTTGAGACAGGGATTTGCAAATCTACAACCATAGATTATTTAGGTTTATATATTGAAGAAAAGCAATTACTTCTGTCTTGTCTTTATCCTCCTTGATGAACTCTACAAGCTCAGATTCCAATGGACCAACACCACTTTTTTGGCATTAGCATACTTGAAAACCTTTTTGGGATTGGTCTTGCTTTAGCAAGGGGTGTGTGTGTGTAATATTTATATATATATATATATATATATATATATATACACACACACACACACACACGTCTGATTTAAATGCCCTTTTCTTATCTCTTATTTGACTGACCCATTTACCAGACCACATTGGTTTTCATTTGTTTCTTTTAAAGGGAATTGAAGTACTGACAATTCTCCATTTAGTGAATAACCCCTTTAGTCTTAGAATCAATCTCCATTGCAAAAAGCCACGGCCAGTCAAGATTTGCTCGCCTTCAAGATTTCTTGAGGGCTGCACCGTTCCTGTGGAACTCGCTTCCCTCCTCCGTTAGATGCTCACCCAGTCTCCACTCCTTCAAAAAAAATCGTTAAAAACCCACTTCTTCTTAAAAGCGTATCAATTAAACAGTTAATAGCTCCTGACTGATTCCTCTTCTGCAACTCTTACCTTTTTGTATCATTTTACCCCACTCCCTCCAGCATGTAAACTCATTGAGCAGGGCCCTCAACCCCTCTGTTCCTGTGTGTCCAACTTGTCTGGTTACAACTACATACAAAAAGCAATGTGTGTGCACAAACCACAGTGCAATAAGTGATCAATAGATAAATAGCAGAAAAAAAAACCTCCCTGAATCAGGTAAGATTTTCCCCAAAGACTTCCTCTTGTCTTCAATAGAATATATGTAGCAAAAAAGGGTTGATCTGCTAAATGAATAAGAACAATGCATAGCACATAACTGTGTATATGAATAAACCAAATGTATAAATGACAAGTGGCCACTCACACTTTCGTTGAAATAAGAATGCCTTGAGAATAAATTTCTTTTTTCAGCATAAATGCTTTTCCAGGAAAAGTTCTTCCACCACTTTTAAACTCTCATGGAACAATTAAAAGGGGTGTGCTCAAAAAGAAAAAAAAAATATAGAATGTCACCACCAGGGGTCCTACGCGTTTCGTCCGTATGTAGGACTTCCTCAGGGACTTCAGTGACCAGAAATGACAGCATACAAATGAACAATGAATGAATGGTTACAACTACATGTCTGTTCGTCCACCCATTGTAAAGCGCTGCGGAATTTGACGGCGCTCTATAAATATACTAATAATTATAATTTGTGCAATGAGATACTCTTTCCACTATACGGCATTCCAAGAAGCAATACATCACAAGTGTCCACAATTTGCCAAGTCTGCATTGCTTTGGACCAGTTTATTCACTTAACACCAGGTTTTATGGAAATAAAAATCCAAAACTGCAAAATTTAGGCACAAAAATCTGTTTAGGAAAAATTGTTCAACTCGCAGCTTGACTGCTTTTGTCTAAATTTTTTACATTTGTTTACAGGTTATCACAATTTGGTGCTTATTAGATAAACCCCCAAATGTACAAATTTAGTGGAGTTCCAAGAGTTAACTAAAGTGTTATTGCAAACACCATGACTACTTCACTGATTTGAAGTCGCCATGATGCATGAAAACTGTATGTGCAGTTCTCTTTATTTATTTATTTTTAATTAGATTTTTTATTATTTTACACGGGGAACCAGGTCTCTAAAGCTTACTAGTAGTGCAACCAAAAGAGTGTTTTAATGACGCACTGTTTGTTTGGAGTAACCCTTTCAATACTAAAATGCCTTCATATTGCCAGAGAGGTGGAGTGTTTGTATCAGAACTACTGGGTTTACAGAGTGAACAGCTGGCTGGCAAGTCAAGGTCCAAGGGTCAAACACTGGGGTTATAAAGTGCCATCATTCAGAAGGAGAAAAAAAACAAAAACAAGTAAATAAAGTCCAATTGCTATTTACCTCAATGTGTAACTTTTCACCTAGTCAGTTGATGTCTGGTAATGATTGGGTGGTGCCAATGGGAGGCTGCCCCCAACCTATTAATTATCGCGGTTTGTTCCTCTTCCAACAACTTCTACACTTTATATACCCATCATGTACACCCACCTGCAGGTAAAGACCGCCCATCGTAGAATGTGATTGGCTTGGCGAGCTGTCTGGATATGATTGGCACAGGAGGGTAGAGACGGAGGCTTTCCTTGATGCACATTGTGGTATAGGGCATCTTACTGAGGTCTTCCCTGGGAATTACAAACCAGTCAATACATCATCAGGACAGTTTAATATTGTATTCTCAACTGTATCTAGTATAATATACGTTTATACCAATCAGTCATAAGAATTCTTCCCAGTTTTCCCATCACACATGAACACAGTATATTTTAACAAAGGATGTACTGTTAACATGCATATTGTGATGGTTAAGAATACTTTTGATTAATGAAAAGAAACAAATATGTTGAAACTATTTCTAACATGCCAGTAGGATCAAGAGATGATTGGGATCCACCCATGCTTAGCATTGTGTTTGCATTTTTCCAGATCTGTGTAAATGACAGCTATAGAGAAATAATCCAGTTTGTCTGGGGTTCTGGGCTCTCCTTTGCTATTCTACCTTAGAATAAACATTGGAAAATTCTCTACCCAAGTTGAGATAAAACAACTTATACACATTAAAGATACAATGTTCTTGTCATTGTGGGAGGAGAGATACAATGAGAAAATAAATTACTAACCAGTCCATAGTGTCTCTTTCTCCTAGGAACGCTCTGATCTCCTCCCGACACTTCTTCTGGTGCTCGGGGTACTTGGCCATGCAGTACAAAATCCAGGAGATCCCACTGGTTGTGGTATCATGTCCCGCAAACATGAATGTGTCCACTTCAGCTCGCAGATCTTCATCTGATAAACTGTTACCTTTTTCATCCTAGAACATAGAATTAATGCAGACTGTCCCAAAATGGCAACTGACAGCTATACATCAAAAAAATCTAATCTTTAATACCTTTTTATTGTAAAAATATAAAATTTTGTATAACTATTAAAGTTACATTTTTATATAAATGCTTACAAAGAGAGACTGGATCACACCAGTAGCGTTTCTAATAAAACGATCACCGAAGCCAAGAGCACAAGTCTAATAATGTATAGTCCATCAGTGTGAGGCATAGGGGCCCACCAGAGCTATGGTAAATAAATTAGTTTCTGTGCTGGGTGAGGATTAGTGTTGGAGTGTGTTGAGGGGCACTTTAAGTGTTTTCTTAGCATATCCAAACAATATGAAACAAAAAAAATCTTGTGTATTTACTTTGTTGGTAGTTAAATAAAACATTATTAAAAATGTATTGAAAACAAGAGTGCAAGCTGTAGATAGTACGATAAGTACAATGCTCAAAAAAATAAAACACAAAAATAACATCCTAGATCTTAATAAATTAAATATTCTTCTGAAATACTTTGTTCTTTACATAGTTGAATGTGCTGACAAAAATCACACAAATCAAATTTTTAAACCCATGGAGGTCTGGATTTGAAGTCACACAAAATTCAAGTGGAAAAACACACTACAGGTTGATCCAACTTTGATGTAATGTCCTTAAAATAAGTCAAAATGAGGCTCAGTAGTGTGTGTGGCCTCTACGTGCCTGTATGACCTCCCTACAATGCCTGTGCGTGCTCCTGATGAGGTGGCGGATGGTCTCCTGAGGGATCTCCTCCCAGACCTGGACTAAAGCATCTGCCAACTCCTGGACAGTTGGTGGTGCAACGTGACGTTGGTGGATGGAGCGAGACATGATGTCCCAGATGTGCTCATTTGGATTCAGGTCTGGGAAAGGGCGGGCCAGTCCATAGCATCAATGCCTTCGTCCAGCAGGAACTGCTGACACACTCCAGCCACATGAGGTCTAGCATTGTCTTGCATTAAGAGGAACCCAGGGCCAACCACACCACCATATGGTCTCACAAGGGGTCTGAGGATCTCATGCACATTATGCAGCAACACCCTGAAGTGATCCCAGCAGATGCTCTCCACTGTTCTCAATATCATCATATTTGAAGACTGTTGGAATCAGTGGTCCATGAGCAGACCTCTCCTAGGTCTCATTCTCCTCAATGAGAGAAGTATTTCTCGGACTTACGGAGCAACATTGTTAGTAGCCAGCCCCCCTCTGAGAAGCAACAAGACATGCGTCTATGCTATGAGAATTTGATGGAGGGCATTGAAAGGAACTTTCTCACAAAAAGAATCGAGACAGGTTCACACACAATCTTTCTGCCTTCAGACGAGAAGTGAACGACTCTGCAGAGACTGCACTGAAAGGGTGAAACATGGTTCTGCAAGGACGTTTTTTGTAATAAAGAATTCCTCTTTTTACCGAGGGAAAGAAACAAATAAACATTTTGTACTTTAACTAGACGGAAGCAGTTAGTGTGCACATTACCTAGGTAAAGTGCAGAAAACTCTTGATTCCGCACTTTAACTGAGCAAATCAGTTAATCTGCAGATTAGTTAATGTGCACATTAACCAATTTCTCACTTTAACTGTAACATATACACAAACAGATTGATACAAAAGGAACATCCAGTAATGATCGGGATAACAGTGTTGTAAGACATCTAGAAAGTTAATATGTGAGTTTTAGAACAGTTGTGTACAAAGTGTAAATAATTAAAACCATCTATCTTGCAGAATAGATTGCTTCCACTAATATTCCCAAACCTAGACCTCTTCTGAATATTGCAGCAGGTAATATGTTTATTTTTAACACAGGTTATAATGTGACTAATTATTACCATATAACTTTACCCAATGCTACCAGGTCACCTGTTAAGTAATTTAAAAACCACAGATTAGCCCATGGCTTAATCTACCACTATTCTTGGCAGTCAGCAGTGGCTTTAATATTTAACTCACCATACGAATAAAACCAAAGACGAAAAAACAACAACAACAACAACAACAACCTCTATAACTATCCCAACCCCCCCCCACCCCAATATCAAACCAAGCCAGCTTAATGAGAAAGAAAGGAGTATGCTTATAAAACCTGCAATATAATTGACCCTCAATAGAGACATGGGGTGAAGGGTAGCTGCGTAACATGTACATGTGATACAAACCCCCCTCCCAAACATTGCAAAGGATCCTCTCACTTCAATATGCCAAAATAAATGAGATACCCACCAATCCAAGGAATCAGGAACCTATAACCAGTAGAGGTTTTGGGATCTGTAAAATTGGATGCAAAACTAATGGTTAATGCCTTCCAGTAGATAAGTCACAAAATAGAACAGCCAGTTGTAACAGAGTAATAATGAAATGGTTATAAAATTAGTAAAGCATTCTACTATTGAAAATAAGTACATTTTTACATCCCGTCCAGAGATGAAGGACTGCCTTTTACATTTAGAGACCTTTGGCAGGTTATGGGTTCTTGGTAATTAAAGAGAGGTGACAATATGCCAAAATTGGTTCAGTTATCCACATCTTCACGGTTTATTCAACAATAACCAAAATTGAGCTAGAATCGAACTGCAAAATGTCAGCAAAAATATTCACACGCACTTTGCATCCACGACACACACACTGAATAACATAATGGATGTCTACAAGGCTTTTTATGGGGAGGGGTGCAGCTAAATATTATACTTGGACTCAGGAAGCCCAATGCCTTTGGCCGGACCTGGATGAAGGTCTCTTTACTCTCCATCACACAGAGAATACATCATCTATGGGCGAATGTTCTTTGAGGTTTGATTAAATTCAGCATTTAGGGAGAGGGAGGGCCATACCATTAGATGTGCCTGGACGTACCAATTGCCACATGTGTATTTGCAAAGATTGTTGTGCAGAGATGAGCTTTAAATTAGTACCTACCTGATCTTCCAAGCACAACCTTGGCATATTCTGGGTTTGTGACGGTCAGGTGACCAAACAGTTTACCAACCCACATAGGGAAAGCATCTGGATATTGATTCATCCAAGCGACTAACTTATCCAGATCCTTGCCATCGCGGTGAAACTGAGAAAAAAAATAAAATAAACCATTATATCCACCGAATTAAACTGATATAATAAGCACCATAACCACTGCATCTCTGTAGCGTTTGTGTTGCTCAGAGTATCTTGGACCCAGCCCTCACATAGGAACGGTTTGTTATAAACCGGAGTTGTTCACCAAGTTCCCCCATCTTTAGCTGCGGCACAACGAGGAATTACCCATTCTGCATTACCAAAGTCAGTTTTTTCAGCCTGGACGGCGGTTATTGGCTGAGTGTGCTGGGTTCAGATTCGACTAATAATGACATTGATAATACACTATACATTATTAATGCTGAAGAAATTGCGAGTTACAGCCACCTAAATGGACTAACATTAGTGATATTCAGTTTTAAGGCTATTCTGACATTTAGAAAGTAAAATGTATCCTCCACTGAATATTTGGGTCAGATTTCTAACTTAAGGGACTCTCCAGTGCCAGGAAAAAAAATCTGTTTTCCTGGCACTGCAGGTCCCCTCTCCCTCCCACCACCCAAACCCCTTCAGTGACTTACCTGAGACCCCCACCGATGTCCCTCAGTGGTGGTTTCGGTTCGCCACCGCTCATCCCCTTCATCACGTCAGCCGGCGGGGGGAGACTGATCCCGCCCGCTGAGACCTAATGCGCACGCGCGGCAATGCCACACATGCGCAGGGCTGGCGCTACCTGTTAAGCGGACTAGGCAGCCGCCTAGGGC